AATTGGAACACAAAGTCATGAGCTGTAATGGCTTTCTCACAGAGCAGACGGAGAAGAAAAATAAGGTGCTGTACATCACAGGAGATGCGCAGGCGCAATAGAAGAGTCAGTAGTAGGTCAAAAAAAAAAACCATGGAGGACAAAAACAGGACATGTATCTGGGTTGAGAGCAATAAGAGCAGTTTAAGCATCTAATTCAAATGTAATGTTGGTGGGAGAGCTTTTTGGGAAGCCCTTGCTATATTCTATACAACGTACAAAAAACATGGCAACATTGGGGGAAATAATTGCTTTAATTGTCGGTTTTTGAATTTATTTGAGAACCCGGCCTGGACCAAGTCATAAGATCATTTCCACTACATGTACGTAGTGTCTTACCGGGTGTAAACTTGATCTTCTCTTTTACTCCTCTCCGTTGTTGTTGTTGAGAGAGTTAAGAGTGTACCCACATGGTGAAGACCAGACGTAATGTAGAAATGAATCTGATGACTTGGTTCCGGCCGGGTTCTCAAAAATAAGATTAACAAAACGACAATTCATGCAATTATTTCCCAATGTGCCATGTTTTTTTGTACCTGTGCGTTATGAATTATAGCACGGGCTTTCTTTTTCCACCAAAAATAAAGCTCTCCCAGCCACATTACATTTGACATTAGATGGCTTAAATGTCTTATTGCTCTTAACCCAGGATTCCAAGTCCATTTTTTCCTCCATTTTTTTTTTTTTTGACATATACTGATCTTCTATTGCTCCTGCTGCATATCTGTGATTGTACACTCCTTATTTTTCTTCTCCGGCTGACTCTGTGTGAAAGCCATTACAGCCTCATAGATATGTGTTCCCCATTAGAATCAACAGCGGATCTCCTGCATAGTCTCAGACTTTCCATCCACCGCTCTGCGATTGTGGCCATAGTAAAGGTACCAATATGATCTTATTATAGACCAGGAGCTCCTGGAGGCACCACTGCATTTGTCTCCTACACAACATGTTCCACAAGAATCCACGGAGTGAATGAAATGACCCCACATATTCTGACTCTGTGACAATTATAGATACATGCAGATAGATACAAAGAGTTGATAGTATAGATGGATGTATAGATACAGTTAGATAGATCAATCATATCATATGTTCTATTTCTATCGCACATTCACAACTGTAAAAAATCCAATACAAAAGACCAGGTTTAAGAAAATGAATAAATATACATCAAAAAATAAATGTATGATACGATATTTGATGATCAGTTCTGTAGGCACGGCTGAACAAGAACTGTTATTCAGCCTGGAATTGCGAACATTAGCTTAAAGAATGAGCATTCTGTCTCAACCCTTGGGAAGACTGTTCCAGATTATAGTTGCATTAAGGTCTGGAACGCTGCCTCCCCATGTCTAGTCCGACTCTGGTCCTGAGGCACCAACATGAGGCCAGTTCCCCGCGCTCATCTGAGTTCGACGGGCTCGTACGGGCACCAGTTCACTTTGAGATGGAAGAGGGAAAATTGCATTTAGACAGTTTGTTTATTGAGTATGTTTTGGCGCCATAGGCCCGGGAGAGATGCTGATGAGGTTTTGCGTGGGGGGGCGCTGCTCAGCGCGCATAACCCCCCCGGGGCCTTGGCAATGGTGACGGCAGAGGCAGTAGGCAAGCACCGCTTCGATTAATTAGAAAGGAGGGGTTGGTCGTCGGATGCTTGGCAAACTTCAGAAAGGCCGGAAAGTGGGCGTTCCGGCTTTAACTTGTGTTGGTGGTTATGGTGGATTAGATGTGGGGTTTTTGCTGCGTGTAAAGAGTAGAGGATGAGGCAGTCTTGTAGATCTGGGCAGCAGTGGCCGGGTCTACCCCAGTGAACTTTCGCACAGAGCATCATCATGTTGCGATATGTATTTTGGTTCGAGACCACGGAGAGACATATATACAGGGAGTAGTCTGAATTACGATCTCATCTCTGAGCCAGAGGAAGCCAGTGCAGAGACCCGGAGGACTGGATAATGTGGTTGTACTTCACTGGATCACACCGTCAGGACTCGAGCTGCAGCATTTGGAAGGTACTGCAGTGTTTTTCGCTCCTTTTGGAAAGACCAGAGAGAAGGCACGTTCAGTAGTCTAACTACTGGTGACAAAAGCAAGAAGACAATCTCTAAGTCTGCCTTAGACGATATTCTATTAATTCTAGCATTTTTTTAGATATATTACAGTAGATTACATATACTGTTTGACCAGTGTGTGTCAAACTTATTATGGTTGGAGGCCGAATAAAAATAAATAAATAAGGTGGGTTTCATTTATAAACATTATGGGAAATATGAAGGAATATAAATAACTGACTTCACTTTAGTTGGATTGCATTTTCTATGAGTTAGAAATAGTTCAGTTTTCTGTGTCTGACCCCAAAACTGGACCAAAATATTGAAGTATATTAGGAGATTTGTACTTTGGGTGGATCATCAAGATTAATGCTCTTCCAGTGTCAATCATTCATGTGATTTGTGAACGTCAAATAAGAACAGAGTATGGTTCAAAAAGAGGAGTGAGGGCGGTTCTTTCCTAAGCAAATTGGGATCCTTTATTTTCTGGAATAAAATGTTATGGTTGTTTCTATCGTACTATAACATGCCCAAAGTCGTCCTCCTCCCCCCCATTTATGCTGCTATTAAAAAAAATAAATTACAACATCCTCCAAAGTGGCCACTGGAAATGGAAACACGCGGATCCTGGTCCCCGGCCTTGACTTGAACACCTTGCGAGTAGATAGAAAGGTTAGATACAGAGATAGATATATAGATACATTAGATAGGATAGATAGATAGATACAGTAGAAATAGATATATACTAGTAGATAGTTAGATACAGTAGATAGAAAGATAGATACAGTAGGATAGATAGATAAGGTAGATAGATATATACAGTAGATATAGATATATACAGTAGATAGATAGATACAGTAGATAGATACAGTATGATAGCTACAGTAGATAGATTCAGTAGATAGATAGATACAGTAGATAGGAACTACAGAACTAGATAGATACAGTGATAAGATAAGATACAGTAGATAGAAAAATGATAGATACATGGTAGAAAGATACCGGTAGTATATAGATAGATACAGTAGATCGATAGATACAGTAGATAGATATAAGCTAGTATACAGTAGATAGTTAGATAGTACTTTATTGTACCGGTTCAGGATAAAATCATGTGTCATCAGCAAAAAAAAGCATATTCATACAACAATAGTTAATATTTATAAAATGAATTAACAAAAGTAATAAAAAGGGCACACAGCCCACTCTACCTCCTTATCATACTTTTGAAATTTAAAATATATTTGAAAACATGTGGACCGCAGATCACATATTCAAAATGCGCCAAAAAATAGAACTTCTACTATTCGAGGTCAGGCAGCAGAGGTGAAGAGTGAAGCTGCGTTGTGAGTTGTTCTGTCCACTTGCTCTAGGTTCAGAGTGAATTCTGTTAAAAATAAAGAGTTCCGCTTGATCAGCTTGATTGGGGCCAGGATCACTCTCTGCTAGTATCATTATCAGACTTGTTCAATTTACAGCTATAAAAAAGCAATAACCATAATATCTTAGACACACTGTTTCAGAAAGACTTTGGTACTTTCATGCCGTTTATAGCACATTCCAAAAGAAAACGTGTTGTGGCTTCTGCGCCTACTCTGGAGTCCTCTTACGAGGTTCTTTAGTATCAGTCTTTGTTCTGCTCAGTTTGAGTGCCGTGGAAATTCTCAAATGACCAGAGGACATGGAGAAAGATCAAAGAGGATTTCACGAGAAGAAAAATAATCATGGTTATTTCTGAGATGACATGATCTGTCATTCGGTTAAACTGTATCTTTCACGACTTCATATGATGCATCACACATGTAATGTGAGATGTAATATGTGTTTTTAAATAAGCAGAGACATTTGGGTATGCCCAACTTTAGTGCACACGCCAAAATGAGGTGGGTGTTGAGAGGTTAAAGCGCAGATTAATGACCCAAAATATTGAGTTGAAATTAAAGTTGTACCTTATTAAAGCTGAGGTAGCAAACTTTATGAATGATGTTTGTCCCTACAGAAAGTCTTGTAAAAGTAAAATGTTGTGAACAAATCAGACCACAACATGCCGTTTTTATCTCATTAGAAAACATGTTTATCTTTTAAATACATGGTAAGAGCAGCCCCGCTATTTGAGTCTTTGTGCTGAGAGCTAGTTGAGAAGATCCTTCTTGCCACACTTTGTATTTTTGGCCTCCGTCACAACTTTGAAGCAGCTTTTCCTGACTTCAAGCTGCAAGATTTCATGCTGTAGGGTACACGTCACTGAATTTGCATGTAATGATAAACGGTAATACATCGTTTCTAAAACTTGATTAACTAACTCTATAAACGCTTGAATGCCCCTCCATTTTCTCCATTTATACAATTAGTATAGTATTAGTACAAGTATTTGTTCATAACTAATACTACAGCTTCCTTTTCAAACAGATGGAGCACAGGCATCCCGATTAGGCGGCCATTAGCCTCTAGGGGGCACCTTTAGCACACAAAAAATAAAGGCACTTGGCGAAGTCTTTGGCCCGTATCTAATCATTTGAGGAAATAATTAGACCATAGTAAATATGTGCTGACAAAGATGTGGAATTGTAATGCCAATCCACATTAATGAAAAACTGAGAAATTGGCTAAAACTAGTACCAGTATCTGAACTTTGACATTTATCATGATTATTGGGACATATTTTTCAGCTTCCTTCCATCACAATGTGAAATTAGGGGCTCTTTGGAATGTTTTAATGCAACATATTTCATAATGAATATTCAAATACCAACTTGGAACGTAACATTTTACATTCACCTACTTACATAAAGTAATGTTGATGATAAGGTGTTTTTTTTGTCACCCTGCATCTTTCTATAACACTTCTTTTTCAGCTCGTGTGACATAAAGTACACAGAGGGAGTGCAGTCGTTGAACTGGACTAAGATTATGAAAACCATCGTGGACGATCCAGAGGGATTCTTTGAGCAGGGAGGATGGTCCTTTCTCGACCCGGAGAGCGAGGTGCAGGATATTTTTATTTCTAACGTACAGGATATCTTAGAATATCCTGTACAGGATAATTTTAATCTCTAAATATTGAAATATCTTTGTGGAAGTTTACAATCTCTTTAAGTTCTAGACTGCAGTTTTTATTTCATTTTTTAGAATGCCCCTCTGAGGATTAATGCTTACACTATTGCATTATGTTACGCTTGCTGAGTATGTTTGTCCTGCGTGTTGCTAGCTGACCGTTTCATTCTCTTGTTTCTCAGGGCGAGGGAGGAGCGGAGGAGTCTGAGTCTGAGATGGAAGACGAGACGTTTAATCCTTCAGCCGACGAAGATGAGGAGGAAGAAGAAGACAGCGACGAAGACTACAGTGACGAGAGCGAGAACACTGGTAACAAACTGCTGCTCAGTGAGGCCAGCTCCCAGGCCACTCAATCCAGATTAGAAACTGGATGTATTCTTGTTTCAGATTACAGTGCGTCTATGGGCAGTGAAGAAGAGAGCGGGAAAGACTGGGATGAACTTGAAGAAGAGGCCAGAAAAGGTAACTTTCAGTGTTCTAGTACAATACAAGGAGGGGGGAGAGTGTTCCACAGCTTTGGACCAGCCATAGAGAAGGCCCTGGGTTATAAATTTCGTCTTTGGCACCACAAGCTGGAGCTCCTAAACTTGGATGAGGTCCGAGATGTACTGTGGGGCCAGTCCTTTCAAATCTTTAACTAATTTCTAAAATTAATAGGAAGCCAGTGCTAAAGAAGCTAATATTTTCTAATATTTTAACTAAGAACAGAAGATTTGAGATTGGCCTATAATTAGCAACATTAGAAGAGTCTAAACTAGGTGTCTTGAGGATAGCCTCATTTACAGCCTGCTTACAAAAGGAGGGCACAATTTCGGAAATAAAACTGCTGCTTAAAATGTGACGCACATTGTCCAATTGTTCCCCACACCACCTTAAAAAGCTTGGGAGGAACAGGTTCTATTGTGCTAGAAGAAGCTCTCATTTGATTCACAATTTGACAGTGACCCTAATGACAGACTCCAATTTCATAACAGCTGAGCAACTCGTTCCCATTAAAGCCTCACAATAAGGGATAACTACATTTTCCCTAATTAAAGCAACTTTCTCAACAAAATTTTTCATTCAACACTCAAAAATTGTGGATTCCTTGCTACTACTACTTATTAACCTCTTTACATCCACCGGCGTGTCGGCAAGTCGTTTTTATTTTTAAAATTTTCTGCTGGCAATAGTAGATGCATTTAGAACACCAAACCCCAAAAGCTGTATGTCATTTTAAAGCTTATTTTCTTATCTGTCAACAATATCAGACTTTGCATTCAAAAGATATAACACATAATGTGGGCACAAAATAAATCACTTCCGAAAAAGTTTTTTACCTTGGGGCTTGTGCTGCATAAATAAATCAGATCTCCTCCCGACTTCCTATAGCTCTTTCTCTCTGGAACAGTCCATTGAAAAATAACATCCACTTGTATTTCCCAAAGTATAATCCATTCTGGAGAAATAATCCAAAAATGTGCATTTATCTTTAGCGAAAAAAAAGAGCAGAGTCTGCTCTTTCACTGTTAACGGACTTTTAGCTTTGTTTTTCACCCAAACTCGTTAGCTTCCAAATGAGACCATTCCCAAAGAGCTTTTTTACGTCTTCAGCATCTCCCGTGAGTACAGCTAGTTTTCTAGCAAGGGGTGGGACAAAGGTGTACTGTATTATTTTGTGCCAGTAGAATTTACACTCATAAAAAATTAACATTGACATTTAAAAAAACAAAAACACACATAGATTAGTAACTTATAATTACCAATAATAAAAAATATAGTTTTATGATGATTAAATATCAGTAAAGAAATTAAATGTGCACTACTTGATGAAAAGGAGGAACTGCATAAAAACTATAAAACTTAATAGTCTGAAACTTTGGACAGTTGTCAACAACACAATGACCATAGGGTTTGAATATTGTGAACTTACAATGAAGTATGCCTTTTTTAGGGCCTTAAGAAATTGGAAATTTTAGGCGAGGCTAAAAAAATAGGTTTTCTTCCTAAACTTCAAAGGATGCAGAGTGAATGACAAACATTACTTTAGTGTATATTTACATAAACTAGAAGGCTCTAGCTTTAATATGATGCATCATACAAGCATGTGACATGTAAGATGTGTTTTTAAATAAGCAAAGACATTTGGGTATGCCCAACTTTTGTGCACAAGCCAAAATGAGGCGGATGTGAAAAGGTCAAGCCCCGGCGATCCAAGATGGCGCCGTATTCAAATGAATGGTTGTGCTCAGTGGTGCTTTGTGCCAGCACGGTCGCTGACATATTAGCGGAACTCGCCTGTATTTGGGCATCATCTGGTCCTCCCGGTTCTGGATGATCAGTGGATGATCTTCCATAATGCGTTGCGCCAAACACGCGTGTAATGGTCTCACACAGGGTCTCACGCACATGCACAGAGGGGCTCGGCCGCGCTCTGACCAATCAGAGCAGTTTGTCAGAGCGGGAGTTGGAGCGGGAGCCAGACGAGCAGAGTTTGTGGCACTAAAGTGTGGATTTAAAGAAAACCGAAGGATTTAAGAAGAAAAAAAGTTCAGGATGACAAGGGACACTAAAATCCCCACAAAATCCGACCTTCATTAAAGCTGTAGGTTCTCTGTCAGCTGAGGTCGCGCTGTTTTAATTTACATTGAGTTCTATGGGGAAAATTTCTGGGTAGCCCACGTGAATTTAGTCTGGTTTAGTCTGCAGTACCGCGAGAATCCCCCGAGCACATGGATTATTCAGCTCCAAGCTAGTAATACCCTATCCAGTTAATATAATAGATCCATGGTTAAAGCTTGTAACCAGGACGGCATAATGTCTAAACAATCCTGTGGGGCGGCTGCGGCTGTAAAGTGCCAAACTGCCGTTGTGTCCTTAGGCAAGACACTTCACCCCCATTGCCTAGAATGAGTCTGGTGTGTGTATGAATGGTTGGTGGTGGTCGGAGGGGCCGATGGCGCATACTGGTTGCCTCGCTTCTGTCAGTGTGCCCCAGGGCAGCTGTGGCTACAGTAGTAGTTTATCACCACCGTGTATGGAGTGAATGAATAATAACACATGTGAAGCATCTTTGAGTGTACAAAAAGCGCTATATAAAACCGATTTATTATTACAATCAACCATTGAAGACTGTGGGGTCAGACTCAAACCATGCAGCTCACGAAGCAAAACAACTACGAATGCCTTAAGGCCGGTGTGTACTCTGGCCTCACTGTGTGCGTTGGCGTTTGCGCTGGACCCGTGGTTTACCACAGTTGTTTGTATACAAAGAAGCTGTGAAGGAATGTAGCTATCCCACACTCAACCACATGATGGCAATCTTGCAGGAATTGCCTGAGACTCCAAAGGTGTCTGGCATTATAAAGTTTCACTTCTCCTCTGCACCTTCTCCATCGACTCCCACTGATGACTGCTGTCGTTGTGTCCTTGGGCAAGACACTTAACCCCACTTTGCCCAAAAGCCCCCACTGAAAGATCAAGGCTATGCTCACACTCAAAGAGCAGCCGTCCTCCTGTGGACTCACCACCTGCAGAGGGTCAGTGAGGGGCTGGTGCTATGAGACTTGGGTGGCATCTCTGACTGCCACCCCCCTGACCCAGAAATGGATTAAAGGGTAGAAAATGGATGGATGGATGGATGGACTTCTCCTCTTGAGAACAAAAACCAGGGTGAACCAAGCTGTTCGAGATTGATCCGAATCTACTTAAATCTGTATTCTAGGTGTAAGTTTATGTGACCGTACTATAGACCTTTTTGTTTTCAACTGATGTTGTGAATAAAAACAGTTCTTGTTGGAAACAAATGTTTTTTATTAAATTGAATTTGTGCACAAACAAGCAAAACAATAAGTGATGAATGAGACCAAAAATGAACTATTTACAAGTGCAGGATGACTGCAACAGACGCAATAAGCTACAAGTGCAAATTCAAACAAAGACACAGGAACAGTGCAAAAGAAACTACTGTACAGTATAGAAATGTTCGGTGCAATATGCAACAAAACTATTCCACAGCCTCCTCGACTAAGTGCTTTCCCTTCAGTACCCGTCAATACACCAAAGCAATCAGCTCCGAAGTGCCTTGTCCATGTTCTTTGCAGCCGTTCCATGCTCCCATCCAAAATGTAATCACACACAGGCCAATCACAATGGACCACCTCTGCACTGCTGCAAAAGTATTGTGTATTTGGCGACAGCGACAGAGGACTTGCAGAAGCGAGGGCGGCACAAGAATCTGAGGCTTGTAGGACTACCAGAGTTGGCCAAAAAAAAATAAAAAATTGTTGAACTAGCTTTATAACTTTAATACGGCTATGGAAGATGGACAACCATACTGAACTCAAAGTCAAAGAGGTGCACTATTTTTTTTAACACACAATTTGCACCTTTTTCATACAGGTATGTGGACCATATTTGGTGAACATTTTTTGTTACCTGTGCAATTTATGTATAATTGATTTGTTTGGTAGTTACTTTAAAAAAAATTGTCCCAATAATTTGATTATCTTGCTTTATTATTCATGTTGGATGGTGAAATGCGGGGTTGCAGGGGGATCTTGGCAGGTTGTCAGAATACACCTACAGCTCTTCCATTGGCACCCCTGAAATAGTTTAAAGACCTAATGCAGGGTTTGTATGTATTTGAAATAGGGCTGGGACTTGATGACATTTTTTTTACCTATTTAGAGGATTTGTAATTAATCGCGTTTTAATCAATATTAATAATGGATCTGAAAAGAGTGAGTAGTAATTTTTTTCACGTAGATATTTAATATACAATTGAATACATAAGCTTAAGCAAAAAAAACTATTTTTGGGCATGTTTTGAACTAGGCACAAGGTTCGGCAGATATTTCACAAAACAAAGGAAGTAAAGAAAGTAAACACCTTTTGGCCATCCTCTATTGTTCCAATTTACAAAAAGCCTCCCTCTTATCACTTTTAAGTTATAGCCTTTTTATTTCCGAAGCTTTGAACGGGCAGTGTTCCATTATTAATGAATTTAACGAATATGGCATAGCCAAACAAAATTGATACAAAAGTGCCGCCTTAATCAACAATGCAGTATGATACAAAAATCAAACTTCCTAATCTTCTCACACCAAACATCTCAAAGTAGACAAGTTGAAAAACACTGATTAGAGGTAATCCGGGAACTGAACCAGAAAAACTGAACGCAGACCTCTGCCAAGCCAAGTGGGGTTCTTGTGTGTGCATGTTCTTGTTTTTAGCTGTCCACGTTAAGAATTAAAGTTTCAAAAATCAACATTTGTTTTACATCAAATTGCTGAAAAACTCTGGTTCCTATAAAGGCTAACACATTATTCAAATAACGATAATAAATATACGTGGGTCTGATATGTGAAAAACCTGTTTCTTTCTTGAGCCTTCAGTAACTGTGTCTCATCTCTGCAGCCGACAAAGAGAGCACCCACTACGAGGAGGAAGACACGTCGAGCAAGAAAAGGAAAGGGCGCCCTGCTCCCCCTCCTCCCAGCAAAAAGAAGCGACGACATTAAAACTACCTTCTTTAACTCTTTAAACTGCCAAACCTCTCATCTCTTCATTCTGCCCCCACTCCCCCATGGTGCGCGTCTGTGTGCAAACGGGTTTTTACTGCAAACACAATGACTTTTCTGTTAAATATGCTTCTTCAGATTAATTGTAATACAAAAAGGACATATCTTGACAGTTTTATATGTGCACAGCTCGTATTTTGTTTCGTCTGTATAAAATCATTGTTTTGAGTTTTTTTTAAAATGGGGTTTGTACACTGCACACAGACTCGCTCCACAGAACTTCTCCTTTTTCATGCCGAGTAGTTTTGTTGTTAAATCCTGTTTTTGTAATAAAATTAAATTACATTGTAATTTTGTTGGAAGTGCGTTTAGACTTTGTGCTAGACTTTGTTCTAGTTACATAAAAAACAAATCTTGCGTGCAATACAGATGAAATGAATTTCAGGTGGTAATCAGTATCATACCCTGTCACCAGCACTCTCGCGTCTCAGAAGATTCTGGGTTTGAATCCCGGTTGGAACCGGGTCTTTCTGAGTGGAGTTTGCATGTTCTCCCTGTGTTTGCGTAGGTTTCCCCCACCAAAAATACAATAGTTCAGGGTGAATGAATGAGTATGTGTGTCGATGTGGGACGACTGATGCCAATTAGCCCATGGCTACAATCCGGAGTGATGTGCCTAATAAAAAAATAAATAGGCTGAAAAAGGGAAAAGTAATTTACATACAATCTTAAGTGGTGAAATCCTTATCTAAACATTGAACCCTTGTGCTATCCTCAAGTCAAATTAACCCTCTAGTGATGAAAAAATATATATATTTGCACTTCATGGCTTTTGATAGGGGTGGGTCTCCCTCAGGCTCAGTGCCTTCAGCTTTGATGCTTCTTACTCCAGGACACACCTCCACTGCACCTGTTGAGCTGCTTCAAAGTATTTTCTCTGGTAGATTTACGTGCGATGTAATTGGGTCAGGCCATCTGCTCTTGATCAGTGTAAATCTGACCACTACTGGAGTAAAAATTTAAACAACGTAAATCGCAAAACTTTCAGAGCAACTTAGGACCAAGCCCCGGTGATCCAAGATGGCTCCCTAGTCAAATGAATGGCTTGTGCTCAGTAGCGCGTGGGACTTCACGGAGACCGGGAGATTAGCTGAACTCTCCTATATTTGGGCATCGTCTGGTCCTCCCTCAGTGGATTATCTCCCATGATGCATCGCGCCAAACGTGCATGTGTGGCTTTTGTGCACGCGCACAGAGGGGCTCGGCCGTGCTCTGACCAATCAGAGCAGCGGAGGAGCGGAGCCAGAGCGGGAAGGCCCATAGGTGGGACAGCTGTAACTAGTAATACCCTATCCAGTTATTATAGATCCATGCTTAGGACACGCAATCTCCAGCTCATTCAAATAAAAGTAAATCTTTTCTTGCCTCTGAGTGGTTTACAGTTTAATAACATTGGGCACTGGCAAAAAGCCTGTCCCTGTGCTCAGAGGCCCGAATTGTTCTATATTTAACCCCAGCATTTGAAACATATCTAATAAGGTATGTGAGGATTTGGACAAAATGTTCAATGGCCCACAGAACAAGTTCTTTTTTGGAGTGGAACTGAATCACAGAATATGTAATCTGTGCGCACGCGCAAAATGATGGCTGCGTGCTGAGTCTGGCTCTGCGCTCTCCCTAAAATATCTGCAAAAACCACTGCAAGGTGTGACCTGATTATCATGTAACTTGGGAAAAGTGCCTTCTAAATATCTGGAGCTTTCCTCAATGTGAGATACACGGCAGTCACTTGCAGCAAAACGCCACATTATGGCTGAATTAACCAAGCAGTCTGGCGAGTCAAATGACACCTTGGTGCAGGCCATGGAGAGCCTGATGGCCAAATACTTTTCAGAGGCTGATGTGAAAGCCAAAGCACGCTTCAATAGGTTGGAAAAACGCATTGACACTGCACGCCACTTTGGCAAAACATACGGAGGATATACGAGCAATCCGAACTAATACGGACAATCTAAATGCGCGCGTAAAGGACGCGAAGCATGCAGTATCAGAGTGTATGGAGACTGTGCGTTATTGCCAAGCAAAACTTATTGACATGGAAGACAGAGCGCGGAGAGATCTGCTCATTCTGAACCTCAAGGAGGTAGTCGAAGGCTCAAACGCTTTGAGTTACTTGACTGGAAAACTCACCGAGTGGTTCCCTGCCTTTGCCAACGCCTGCCCGGAGCTGATGAGGTGTCACCGGCTTGGTCGAACACCAGAGCCCCGTACGGATGGCAAGCCCCGGCGTCCCCGCCCGCTCATCGTCAAATGTCTTCGGTACACCGACAGGGATCGTATACTCCAAGAATCCACCAGAAGTGGCCAAGATGCAGCTCAAATTTGCCGCGGATTACAGCGAGGCGACTGCTAAACGCCGAAAGGCCTACTACAGAGTCATGTATGAGGCGCGCGTAAAAGAATTCCAAACCTTCCTCCTGTATCCAGCGACAATCAAGCTTTCCAAGGGACATCAGGATCACATCTTTCAGGAGGCCAGTCAGGCTGAAGCCTTTATTTCAACAACTTAGACAACCCTGATATGATCCAGACTGGTAAGCCTGCTTTATACTGCTGCTTGTTTCTCGTGTGCTTATGAACATCAATCAATCAATCAATGTTTATTTCGAGCAAATAAGTGTACAGGAAACAAAAGTAGAATTATCAAAATTGTGTATAAATAACCCTGTGCTACATTTACATAATACAAAATTATGAATGTTATATACACAAAAACACTTGCAGATACTCAAAAAGGAGTGGGAAGAAGAAAACTTATTTAATCCCACCCCTGGTGCCTTAAAGAAAAAAAAGAAAAAACATTATTCATTGAGCTTCCTATTTGCTCCAGTACAAAAACAAAGCAAATGGCACATTTGAATCAACTGTTCAGGTTTAAAAGTAGCAATTCATGGGTTTAAGGACATATAAAGACAAGATACATATATGCAAAACGACCATGAGGGAAATACCAGCAATGGTAAAAGACAGTAAATACAGTGCCTTGCGAAAGTATTCGGCCCCCTTGAACCTTTCAACATTTCGCCACATTTCAGGCTTCAAACATAAAGATATACAATTTTAAATTTTTGTCATGAATCAATAACAAGTGGGACACAATCGTGAAGTGGAACGAAATGTATTGGATAATTTAAACTTTTTTAACAAATAAACTGAAAAGTGGGGCGTGCAATATTATTCTGCCCCTTTACTTTCAGTGCAGCAAACTCACTCCAGAAGTTCAGTGAGGATCTTTGAATGATCCAATATTGTCCTAAATGACTGATGATGATAAATAGAATGCACCTGTGTGTAATCAAGTCTCCGTATAAATGCACCTGCTCTTGGATAGTCTCAGGGTTCTGTTTAAAGCGCAGAGAGAACCATGAAGACAAAGGAACACACCAGGCAGGTCCGAGATACTGTTGTGGAGAAGTTTATAGCCGGATTTTGATACAAAAAGATTTCCCAAGCTTTAAACATGTCAAGGAGCACTGTGCAAGCAATTATATTGAAATGGAAGTATCAGACCACTGCAAATCTACCAAGACCCGGCCGTCCCTCCGAACTTTCATCTCAAACAAGGAGAAGACTGATCAGAGATGCAGCCAAGAGGCCCATGATCACTCTGGATCATGGTGGGAGAGTCTGTCCATAGGACAACAATGAGTTGTGCACTGCACAAATCTGGCCTTTATGGAAGAGTGGCAAGAAGAAAGCCATTTCTAAAAGATATCCATAAAAAGTCTTGTTCAAAGTTTGCCACAAGCCACCTGGGAGACACACCAAACATGTGGAAGAAGGTGCTCTGGTCAGATGAAACCAAAATCGAACTTTTTGGTCACAATGCAAAACGATATGTTTGGCGTAAAAGCAACACAGCTCATCACCCTGAACACACCATCCCCACTGTCAAACATGGTGGTGGCAGCATCATGGTTTGGGCCTGCTTTTCTTCAGCAGGGACAGGGAAGATGGCTAAAATTGATGGGAAGATGGATGGAGCCAAATACTGGACCATTCTGGAAGAAAACCTGTTGGAGTCTGCAAAAGACCTGAGACTGGGACGGAGATTTATCTTCCAACAGGACAATGATCCAAAACATAAAGCCAAATCTACAATGGAATGGTTCACAAATAGACGTATCCAGGTGTTAGAATGGCCAAGTCAAAGTCCAGACCTGAATCCAATCGAGAATCTGTGGAAAGAGCTGAAGACTGCTATTCACAAACGCTCTCCATCCAACCTCACTGAGCTCGAGCTGTTTTGAAAGGAAGAATGGGCAAGAATTCCAGTCTCTCGATGTGGAAAACTGATAGACATACCCCAAGCGACTTGCAGCTGTAATTGCAGCAAAAGGTGGCGCTACAAAGTAATAGCGAAAGGGGGCCGAATAATATTGCATGCCCCACTTTTCAGTTTTTTATTTGTTAAAAAAGTTTAAATTATCCAAAAAATGTTGTTCCACTTCACGATTGTGTCCCACTTGTTGATTCTTGACAAAAAATAAATGTTTTATCTTTGTTTGAAGCCTGAAATGTGGCGAAATGTTGAAAGGTTCAAGGGGGCCGAATACTTTCGCAAGACACTGTACCAATATGGTACATTGGGACAGCAAATACAAACAATGGTAAGAACTTGATACAGCAATGGTAATGAAACAGGGGCAGTTACAAACATACAAGAAGAGGACATGGCAAAATGGAAATATATTCAAGGCATATTCTCTCTATTGTCAGACCAAACATTGTTTTTACATAGTGACTTAAATCTGTGAATGTCTTGGCATTATTTTAGTTGGAGATCCAGAGCATTCCACAATTTCACACCACATACAGTCACACAGAAACTTTTACGAGTCGTTCGGAATTTTGGGAGTTGGAAGTTTCCAAGACCTCTTAGATTGTTTTTTCTTTAAGAATAAAATATTGTTGTATGATACTTGGTAGCAATTTGTTAAATGCTTTAAATAGTACAATTGATGTGTAGAGCTTAAAGGTCAGGAAACTTGAGTAATTTAGATTGGGTAAAAAGTTCATGAGTGTGTTGTAGGTAGCTTGCATTGTGAATTATTCGCACAGCTTGTTTTTGCAATAATAATAAAGGTTTTATTGTGCATTGGTAATTGTTCCCCCACACTTCGACACAGTACGTTAGATAAGGTAGAACCAATCAACACGAGCGTAGTGCACGAGTATCAAGGTAGTGTTTAGCCTTGTTTATAATTGAGATTTTTTGATATTTTGGAGCTTTCCATGATAAACTGTTGTCCATAGTTACCCCTAGGAATTTTTTTTCAGCAACATTTTCAATTTGGACTCCTTCAATGAAAATGTTTAAATTTGGACATGCTTTTGTGTAACCAAACGTCATTACTTTTGTTTTATTTAAGTTTAATGACAATTTATTTATGTCCATCCATTTTTTGATCCAGTCTTGATTAATTCTGATGAGTCCGAACTACTGTAGAAAATGTTAGTGTCATCTGCAAAAAGAATGAGTTTTAAAGACTAACATGACAGTCCGTATGAAGACAGACGCACATCAAATCTACACTGCTACATATGACACTTTGGGAGATGGACAACTTTTCACCCCGTGATGAACTATTTTTCCTCTTATGAATGGGAAGGAGGAGAGGAGGCGGGGCTGGTGACTTGGAGTGTGAGAGGGTGTGCACAGTGCACGTCACTAACATTATTTGTTTTGTCTTGTTTTTGTTTTTCCTGTTCTATGGTAATAATAAATATTTGGTGGATGCATTTCATATTATCTTTATAATACAGAAAATTAAGAATAATAATCCTACATTAACTTAACGGAAAATATGTCAATGGAATATAGAATGTAGAATAGGCGACAGTAGCTCAGTTGGTAGAGCATTGGCCTTAAGCCCAGAAGGTCGTGGGTTCAATTCCCACCTCTGCACCTTCTCCACCGACTCCCACTGATGACTGCTGTCGTTGTGTCCTTGGGCAAGACACTTAACCCCACTTTGCCCAAAAGCTCCCACTGAAAGATCAAGGCTATGCTCACACTCAGAGAGCAGCCGTCCTCCTGTGGACTCACCACCTGCAGAGGGTCAGTGAGGGGCTGGTGCTATGAGACTTGGGTGGCATCCCCCTGACCCAGAAATGGATTAAAGGGTAGAAAATGGATGGATGGATGGATGAATATAGAATGCTCGATTTTAACAGATATTGATCCTGTTAATAATTGTTTGAAGCACATTGATAATAGATGATGAATGTAATTTAAATAGTTTTTCAACAGACAGTTTGTCACTTTTCCACTTTAACATCCGGAGTATTTATGCCAATTTTGATAAGCTGAAAGATTACTTGAGCTCTCTAACTCAAAAATTCAAAATCGTGGCTCTCTCAGAAACATGGCTTTGTGAAGGAAAAAAGTGGAAACTTTGATTTGGATGGATACAATTTATATTTCATGAACTGGCCAGAGAAGCGAGGGGGAGGAGTGGCATTATATGTGGATAGTAGTATTAAAGGGCCCATATCTCTGCTTTAAACATGATTACAATGCTATTTGGCCTTCATACACAAGCCCACAGTAGTTTATTCATTGATTCTGTCAATCTTTTGTAAGAGAGCAATCTGTCTCCTTCCCCAGCGTGAGGCACAGAAACGCTCGGGTCCACTTAAGTGACGAAAACCACACTGATGACGCGCATGACCCCGTTTGCTTTGTATTTAAAATAGTTGTTAAATACTTTTGTCCAAACGGGGTAAACAATACACAATTAGTATGCTGTTTTTTGTCAAAAATAATAAACATAAAAATAAATTAAAAGCCGGCGGGAGGTGATCTGCGTCTGTGGTCTGGTCTCGCGGACACCACATAGAGCTGCTGTTTTTATGCTTTTGTCAGCAACTAAAAGTATTAGGATCACGTCAACTTGAATGAAGTGTGTTATGGGTGTAAATATGTGACAACTATTTGGCCCTAAGAGGAAGAAAGCGGCTCGACTTTTTAATCTGTTCATCTCATGGATCTATTATAATACCGGTTCATCTGCGACACTTCACTGAGACTGTTCCAGAACTACAGGGACAATGGAACTGGACTTACTCAAAGGCTGATCTGGAAACACGTTATTCCCACGGTAAAAGACGTAACTCGGACCCCCTCGATCTGTAAGTAGTGACGCTAACTCGCTGTATACTTCTGTAAACTAAATAACTAGGGTCTGATTGTGCATCGAGGACATAGGGCTCGATGTGAGGGATTGTCATTGTTGGAAAAAGTTTATTTATGTATGAAGTACAGGTGATAAACAACAAAAGCGTGATGCTACGTCACCGTGCGGGCGGGGGGAGGCGGGCTCACAGGCAGAGGAGCAGACTCTTCTCTGGATCAGCTCGTTTGAGTCCAGGTGACGTCACCTCTATACAAGAGATGGCTCTAATCTCACAAGCTTTGATTGTTGTGTGGTGTATCATGTTATGCAAAATGAAACAATATTCAATTCAACTTACTCTTGTATAGCCCTAAATCACAACAGTAATTATCTCTGAGGACGTTACAAAAAAATGTCGAAAGGATCATCAGCAATGTCCACGCATTCGCAAGGAAAAACAATCCAGTGGGATAAAAGTGAGATTGAAGGATGAGTCCACTCCCACAGACGTATTATGTATCTATAAACAAGATACAAAATAAAAAACAATAAAACAAGACACAAAGTAAACAGAAATAGTTGGAAAAAGAAGCTGGACGAAGCAAAAGCTTTGGATCCAATCCCTCTCACTCAATCAACACAACCCAATACATTACAGACACACAACACAGGCACACACACAAGACAAGACACAGACTCAAGTACTCTCCGACCATACACTGCTCTCACTATTCCCCATGAGCATACAGTGCAGTCAAACGGGCAGATGACCAATGTACATAAATGCTGTTGAATGTCACCTGTCCTGGATCATCACCACTGTCCTTCGACCCTCCTGCATCAGCAAGGAAAAACTCAAACAATACTCCAACAACATCATAAAATGTCTGGCATAACATGACAGTTTCCTTGACTACGACTAGTGTGGAGGACACCATGGTCTTCCCGTAGCCCAAATGTTTACGATTTCATATTTGCTCTCATTTACTCATACAAAGTTTGATTAGTGCCAAACATGAATCGGTTGTAAAACTCTTGGATCTAGGTCAGCTGAAAGTGAAAAACATAACATTTCAGCATTAACGCCCCTACAGAGTGATCCAAAGAATTGCATGTACACTTTAATCGTTTAGCAAACCAGCCAGTCGTTTAACTAACAGAGCTCAAAATCGCTCCACACCATACAAATAAGTTTAGAATCAAAAGTTAGCTTCAGATTTGTGATTGGTTAAACAGTGTAAATGGTATGAACCTTGCAGACACCATTTTTTGGCTTATTTAAATTGACACGCATGAAAGTATATTGAATGGAGACACACACACACTGATCATAGGCTTTACAGTGTCAGTGTTTCTCCCATCAGGGCTGTATGCAGATCAGTGCGTCCGCTTTTATATGTACTCTGTAAGATGCGACACTCAAGAGTATAACTTTTGTATACTAATTATTCAAAATCAACTTAAATGAGCATTTAGACATTCCCACATTCAAACACGCGTGTGCTATACTCAAGTCACTGCACTATTATTTACAAATGAGCACATCTCGTCCTGGTTTAGTCCTGTTTAGTTGTGCCACCTAGGCGTCAAAGCCAGATTCTGGGAACAGGTGCCACCATCGGGGCAAGGTGAAAGTGCCGAAACTGTAGTTGTGTGCATAACACTAGCGACCGCGCGCGCTATTTACATACCTTGCACCACCCCCTGCGGTCAGTTGACCGCTATGTATTTTGCGCTGATACAGCCTTTTGCCAAATTGATTGTTCACTAAACCAGAACTTGATGTTGCAAAGGAATCGTGATCATAATGAAACTGTGTAAATTATTTGTCTAAATATGCTAAGTAATTGTAATTCTAGCCAAAATAAAAGACTAAGACGACACATTGTGCGTGTACTGATCCATCAAAATTACGATGACTTTTCAGGCTGGATTTATTTTGTAACTTTGCAAACACTAAAAGGTCGGTCACTATATGTTATATTTGACTCCAATCACAATATGTACATTCAAAACAATATTAATTATAGTTTAGCAAAAAGCACGGGACCATAACGTCTTCGCGCTGCTATGCGTCTACTTCTTACGTCATCTAGGACTGTTTTCTTTATTAGAGGCCGAAATCACCGTGGGAAATATTATCTAGATAATAATAATATTCGTATTGACACAAGATCATCAGCTAGGCTTCCATCGCCAATGTACAATCCAATTTTACACGGGAACGTTAGAAAGACAAATATATGTATATATATTAGTGCTGTCCAAAATATCGCGTTATAACGCGTTCAAATCAAAAAATAATATTTTTTTTTTTTTTTTTTTTTTTTTTTTTTACTTTTTATTGCAGACAAAACACATATACAGAAAAAAAAATAGACACAAAGAAAAGGACTAGTTCAGATACATTGTAGACAGAGATTACAAACAATATGTAGTTGGAGATACAGGGGGCCAAAGAAGAAACCCAGAAGGGCACATAGGAGGGGGGGGGGGGACATGAAGTGGGCGATGGGGGGGGGGGGGTTAGTAAAAAAGGCAATACAAGCAAACAGTATACAGTCATAGATATACCGAAAGTAAACAGAGAAACAGCATAGAGTATTTACATGAACAAATTTACAAAAAAATTGTTCATCATCATCATAATGACACCATGATGTTTCTATACAGTCTATGGTCTATACCCACACATACACACACACACCCACACACACACACACCCACACCCATAAACACACACACTCCACACACACACATTGAAGGGCTTTTTGTTACCAATTATTTATTTTGTCATCCATTTATTGATGATTTTGCATCAAATGTTAGTGTGTAATATAACATACACATTGTTTTCAATATAAAAAGCAATTGCACACAGCACGCAAATGGGTGACTAATTTGCAATTAATCGCGAGTTAACGATGAAATTCATGCGATTAATCACGATTAAATATTTTAATCGTTGGACAGCACTAATGAGGGCCGCTTCTGCCCCACAGTCGCTCTCCTCCTGCCGGTGTCCGCGGGTGACGAGATGCCTCACAGCGCTCGCATCTGCACTCTGCCTTGATAGTTCATCTAATTGTTCTATTTTATTGCGATATTGTATTCTGCTGTATTGCCTTCTTATATGTATAAATATAATAATGTAATTGATGAATGAAAAGGCAGAATGGAGCGACAGCGCGCTCACAGACACCTGCGTATGGCTGGAATTACGCGGGTCATGTGTGCGTTATTGCTTCTGGACTTGTTACAACACTGCTGTCCATGCCGTGAATGCACTATGGGTTTACGTCCAGATTTAGAATATTATAGGTGTTCTCCCCGCTGTCACTTTCCACCTCAAAATGTGACATCTCACCTCCGTCAGACTGTTCTCATTCAATGTCTTGAAGTACACGGTATGAAGCACAGGGCTTCATACCGTGTACTTGCAGCTCTATTCATTTTGTACTCCTCTCAATTCAAAACTTTCTCTCTCCCAAATAATAATAAAAAAAAACTCAAGTCCCTTTAGAGTCTAATGACAACATATTGATACATTTTTATAAGGCGCAAAAAACCCCTGGGAAAGGTTACTATGACAACAGTCGCTCCTGCGCCATGTATCCCTATGGGGCAGCAGAAAGGGCTGTGGATTAGAAAAGTTAAAATGCGTGTAAATCTTGTTTTCTTTACTTTTTCCAAAATCAAAACACACCAAAAAAAAAAACAACAAGTACCCAGTAAAAGTCATAAAATTTACACTTCTGGCGTTTTGTTTTGAATACACTAATTGGCATATTAAAGTGAGTGACGGTCAGTTGACCGCTAGGGGCTCTCCTAGTGTTAAACCCTGGATCCTTCTCTGAGGGTAGTGATAGATGTGTTAAGTGTAGTACAGTTGTAGCTTTGGAATCCAGGGTTAGTGAGTGAGCTGAGTCTCAAGCTAGCATTAGCTATACCCAGGTCGTATCCTCGGACATGCAGCCCTCCTCCTCTGCTACACTGCTACACAGGCTGCTGTTGCTACAGGTCCCATTCAGATTGTACAGAGCAGACGGCACCATTGACTTCACAGTGTCCGAGTCATTCTTTTAAGACGCAAGCATTTTCAAAAACCACTTTTACTGTGCTGAATATTCTATTAAACACTTGCTGTTCGTCTGATATTATAATAAATCCAAGCACCTCACCAATACTAGTTACGCGTCACGTGTAAATGACGTGGTCTGCCAACGCTGAGGACATACTAAGGGGGTACTGTTTTTGATGGAAAAGCACGCAAACCGGGCCGCGCCGTTTAGAGTCGATACGAGGCGTACTGATACTGTGGAAAAGCTGCATTATAGCCCATATCAAGAAGGGCACTTTTATATTGCTTGTTTTTGATGTGAAGCACTTTGTGACCTTCTGTCTGAGAAAGGTGCTATATAAATAAACTTTGCTTGCTTGCTTGCTTGCTTGCTTGCTATAAGGGTTCTATCACGCTGTAGTATTTGTTGTCCAGGCCCAGATAATAGGCCCGCGCAGGGCACTATTCTGTTGATGTCCTTGTGATTTGTATGTCTGTCAGTTGGGGGTGACAGTGGCTCAGTTGTGGCCCACAGTGGCGCGCACCGGCCCACTTAAAGCACTGTATTCATTACAATTTTACAAACATTGTTTTATGGCTACGGGAGCAAATAATGGCACGTCAGCGCCACCTCCTTTGCTCAGTGTGGTGAGGGCCATTTGACGCCGCTTGTGGCAACCTTATGTCAGAGAAACTGCTACAACATCCTGATATTTTTTTCCCTTCTCTTCACAGGAAGAAGCTGCTGCAGTGCTGACGCCAGTGAAGAAAAAAATAAAAAATGTGGGAATCTTCTTAAAGGTGAGTTTCTGTTCTGCAAAGCTTCATGCCACGTTCTGTTTTCTGTTCTTCATCTTTTTGTATACCCTCAGAATGATGATGAGGAGGACGAAGAAGAAGACGGGGACGATGCAGAGGAGCTGTTGGGGAAAGGAGCTCGAAGTGCAGCGCTGCTCGCCGACAGGACCAGGGTCGGTCACTTAAAATAAAGTATTTACTTGTTGAGGTGTTTCAGTCCAAATTGAGCTGTTAGGTTTTTACAATGTACAACATGTCAATTGCGTTTTCAAATTGCCTTAACGTGAATCAGAATCATTTTTATTGCCACATAAGTAACAGGAAGTCACAGACTTGGAAATTGCTTTGGCTCAGTGCAACATTCAGAAAGAGATAATAAAATAAAATTTTTATTTTAATAAATTTAAATTTAAAATAGTTACTATTTAGAATATACAAGTGCACATGGTGCACACAATTCAAGGTGACAGCAGTACAGTGAAGTAAAGTGACGTATGATGGGCAGTAAATGCTGGGGTCTGTAACTTTTTAGTTTCATAAATGGATTTTTGTCTCAAGAGTCTTGTAAAACTGAATTGTTTAGACAACAGGGCTCTTTCTTACACAAAAAAAAATAATTTCCATAATCAGAATCTCAACTATTCTTTATTTGGTTCGCGGGGAGGTGCGTTTGTGTGCCGGTCCGTGCAATAATTGTCTGACGTTAAACCGGTTCCTGGCACTATAAAGGTCTGACATCGCTGCTCTATATTTAACCTACATCTTAACCCATTTTTTCATTGCAATGGGAAAAAGGTGGAAAGTTTGTTTAGCATAAAAGGAACTTTGGTGCGATTATCCTTAAAAAGTAACTAAATCAGAGTTCATTAATCCAATCAACAGAAGTGCTGGAATGCTCCATAAACCCATATGATAAACCCATATGCCCAGTTCTAGTTCAAGTTTATCAAAAGTCACACCCAGGGTTACTCAAACTCTGGACCATCTGAGAAAGGGTTAGTTTTGAACTGAACTCTGATGCCTGCCCCTCCTTTACTTAAAGGATTCTCCTGCAGAAGTCTCAGATGTGGAGAACTCATTTGAATCCCGCACAATCATCAATCTGGCTTTTGCCAGTTCATCAACAGAGAAGACCCTATGAAGTGTAATATGAGCTTTTGTGAAGAAAATGCCTTCAATTCTTAGTTATGCCATTCAGTAGCATAAATTACATTTAATATAATGGTATAAAATGACTTGTCACCAAAAAAAGTCCTTAAATGCCATTAATTATTGTATGGCATGAATTGAGATATTCATGAATCATGGTACCCCTATCTGCCGCACATAACCCTGTAACAATCGGTGAACTGGAAAACCCTGGTATGACGTTTTCTCCAGAACTCTAAGAAGTGAACTGGAGCTCTTTTGCCTGTGGGTGCTGTTGTCGTTGAGCGTGTTTTTTAAATGCTACATTAACAGAATGCTTGTGTGTTTGTCCCAGCTCGTGGGGAAGGTAAGTGTGCAGCCGCTCTCTACTCATCATCTGCTTCTGTCTCCTCACTTCAGCTGGAAAACATCAAACCAACCACAAACTCCACTCCATAGACTGTGTAAATAGATGGTGCTAACCCGTTTCATTCTTGAAGAAGTCTTAACAGTGGAAGTGCTCAATTCGCTGAAACCTCTTACTGCTGTTCACATCATCTCAACATTTTATCAAAATTAAAGCATTTATATTTTTGACCGACAATGTAGTCATACGTAGTTACAGCAGGAACAATACTTTATATGTATTGCATCAGTTGCGTGTAGTTAATGCTAATTTTCAACTCGTCTTGTGAAGCTTCTCCCTACAGTGTAACACATTACAGAAATAAAATAGACTGCCCTAAAACATATTTTAAACAAAGACATTCCCCCACCATCGACAACACGCATTCAGTCACAAACACACACAGATGATCTCATTCTTATAATGCGGTGAAGTGACATTTAAAACATGGAGAACTTAAAACGGCATTACAACCCTAATGATAAGTTAGAACCCATTTCTTCAGGTCTTTTAAGTTGAATTTTAAAGGCGTCAACCGATTCTATTAATCTTAAAAGAAAAAGAGCCCTGTGAGCTGATTGGCTGAGTGAGGACCTCTTTAGACCAGCTTTTTTTGGAATACAATCTCTTTAAAACCACAAAGTAATAATCTAAATATAAAAAATAAAACAAATTGAAGAGAATTTTTTCATAGATGTGTCAGCACTGCATGACGAGGTTTGATCTTGGGGATTTGTCTTTGGTCCAGACTTGTCACTTGCTGAATATGTGGAGTTTGTGTGTCTTGTGTCACGCTCATCTTAAAGCATGACTGTGGCTGACCATCATCCTGTTCGTCCGTGAAAATGTCAATAAATGCTTCTCCATCTGCCATGTTATCTATTGCAGTATTAGTATAATGCAACATTTGACTCAAAGAATGGGTGACATTACACACATTTTTGAATCCACTGAAAAAATAAACTTCTAATTTTATAAACTGTTAAATCCAGTTTCTTACACATAATATAATGCTGTTGGAAGAAAAGAGGAGTTTTACATCTTTGGTCCTCGTCAAAAACAGACCTGCAGTTTATATCAGGAACTTCTGATACAAACATGCCGGCCAACGCTGTATCGATTCAATGTAGCTGAGGTGTTGAGACATTTTTCTTTTGTTTATATCAGGGGTGAGTACAATTGTCATACCTAAATTTTAAAATACTTCAAGGCCTTCAGTTCTGAGTTAATGGAATTGCAGCGTATTCACTTCATGTGTCCTTTTTCTGTAAAAACTTGGATGATTTAAAAGGTGTTATCACTTTGCAGAATGAGATGACAGCAGAGGAGAAGAGGCGAGCGCATCAGAAGGAGCTGGCCAACAGTTTGAACGAAGAGGCTAAACGCAGACTGACGGAGCAGAAAGGAGGGCAGCAGATACAGAAGTGAGTGACCAGAGGGGGCGCTGTGCTGGGGACATGCAGAGAAACAAGGGGCCATTTCAGGACCACTCTTAATGGGACAGTATGTAATTTGTACTCTAAATATAATGACTGAGTGAGACCACAATTTATCTTTTGTTGCTACAATCGTCTTCCTTGTGAAACGTGTAGCTCCTAAGCCATGATTAGAGGCATTTTATTTATATTTATACATATATATAATAGTACTAAGAAAAAAATGAGCCCTTGGTGTAGCACTAAATTACACTAATGTTTTAACTGCTAACTGCTTCTTTTGTATTCTCACAGAGCCCGAAAGTCAAATGTTTCGTACAAAAACGTGTCACAGATGCCTCGAGAAAAGGACATCAGAGAAATGAAAATTTTTATTGACAAAAAGTACGAGACTGTGGTGATGCCGGTGTTTGGGACCGCTACACCATTCCACATCGCAACCATCAAGGTTTGTCACACAAGATAAGGGAAACTTTATTCGTCCCACAGTGGGATAATGGCCCTCATTTATGAAACGGCCAAAACGGGGTGTAAATGAGGCTTACGGAAAAAAATGACTTTTCTGGAGGTGGCATAAATTTTACATCCATCTGAACTTAAATAACACGCATGAAGTTTAAGATTTGGACAACAATAAACATATTCCCACTCTGACAAAATTATAGGCATACCGCTCATATTAAAAATATGCAATTTCACAAAGTTATGTTTGGGCTATGCCAGTAGTTTGTGTTATTAAATTACGTGCAAGATGTCAAACTCAAGTCTCCCACAAAATGTGTTGATTGTTGTATGTTTAGCACCTACAATCAGTGCACAACGGTAATTGGTTCATGTGAGTCCAACAAAGACGCGCACTACCGTGGAGCGCTTCGCGGGTATAATTTATTTATGGAGCAAAAGCCGCAGAGGTAAAAAACATTTTCATATAATATATGCGCTGGCTCCGAACCAGCATCTCTCTCCCTGCTTTACGCGTGCTTCTAATGGGAGACCTGGGAAAGGTCTCATTTTTTAGCTAGTGAGTTGGGGATCACAGGCATACCCTGTCTTTGGGGGGGAAAACAAAGTCTGAACTGTGAAAGAGCAGCCTCTTCTTTCAGAACGTTTTTTGTTGTTTTTTTTCGCAAACGATAAACGCACCTTTTTGGATTATTTCTCCAGAATGGTTTATACTTAAAATACATATTCTTTTGGATACTCTTTTTCCATTGACATTTATGGAGTGAAAAAGCCACAGCAAGGATGGGGGAAGTCTAATTTATTCATGCAGCACAAGACCAAAGGTAAAAAACCTATACGTACGTGATTTATTTTGTACCCATGTTATGCGTTATATCTTTTTATTGCACTTGTTTGTGCTTGTATATAAATGTAGATGAGAAAATAAGCTTTAAATTAACATACAGCTTGTGGGGTTTGAAGTTGAAAATACATCTGCTATTGCCAGCAGAACATTTTTAAGAGGTCCATTTCTGTTTCGGGGGGTGGCCAGAGATGCCACCCCGTACACATAGCACCAGCCCCCTACTGATCCCTCCTGCGGGTGGTGAGTCCACAGGAGAATGGCTGCTCCTGTGGGATTTATGAACGTGATCTCACACGTTCATAAATCCCTCGTTGGATCTTGCGTATTTGGAATCTACATCTAAAATATGCACCTTTTTTCTGCGCAAGTTTCATAAATTAAGGCCTATGTCTGTGTTGAAGTGCACATACAGTAAGGGTGCACAAGTGACACACAATATACATGGAGAGCTGTGTGTGTCTGTGTCAATCTCAGACCAGTCACAAAGTGCTTTACAATTATATTTTCATCTCCTGGTAACTGTCAAGTCTGATTCTAGTCTTGTCCAAATATTGTAAGAGTTTTGTTTTAACCAGATTTGGGCTGACTAGCACCACAGCAACATTTGTGCCTTATAGCCCATAGTATTTTGTGACACAATCCAAATCAAACATCCCATATATTGTGCAAATAAAGTTAGTGACTGGATTCCCGAGATTCTCAGCATAACTACATGAAGCATGTTGGACCTATATTGGAGAAGCTTAAGTTGGCTGGATGACACTGATGGTACCTCAAAGACTAGCAAGACTGAGGTCCACATAAAATGCCAAAGTGGGCTGTATTTGGCCAGCGGGCGTTATTTTAGATGGGCTTGGTTAACTGATTGACTGCCATGAATGTAATACGTCAACTGAGTTCTGGACTAAACAGAGCAACACTCTGTAGATGTAATCACACAAACACATGCATAAACACACGTACATTCGCGCAAAAACACAAAGATACACAACAGTATTCTATTGCATTATAGTTTAGGTATATAGTCTGTTCACTTTGATTTGTCATTTATAGTGTTTATCATTGAAATTTTGTTCTGTGATTTACTGCTTTTGACATAAATATAGCGCCACCTAATGGATGAATATTGACCATTCTTTCTGGCATAGTTTTTCATGGGCTCTACTTTCTACAGCCGCGTTTCCAGCCTCCACTGCAGTAGGACCACTCGGCAACGTCATGAGTTTCCATTGCCGCATAAGCAAAACTCATTATGCCAAACCAGTTATTATTATAGATCCATACGCCAAACCCATTTTATGGCCGTAACGGCTCCGGTTGTTGTGGTCTTTGTTTTTTTTTTATAGTCCTGCTTTTGTTTTTTGAAAACTTTTCATGGCTTGTTTTGTAGTGTGATGAATCCCCAGTGCTTCAGGTGAAGCTGATATGTCTTAAAGGCGCTATACCCTTTTCTGCAAGGTTTGAATGTTTAGCACCGCCCCCCAACTCGCTCAATGGCTTCTCATTTCCCCTACGCTCTCATAACACAGAGCCATCTAGTTCAATTTGCGATCTGATCCGCATGTTTTCCACATGTACCGTGTCTCTCCCATGTTTGTTGAAATATGTGTCTGTTTTGCTCTCTGCTGTTGAATAACTGTCATAAGGAGCGCGGAAAATTAGAGTACGCGGCCGGCCTTGATGTGTATTCATCGAACTGAATTTCTCCATCTGTGTGAGATAATAAAGGATTGATTGATTGATATGTAGGCTAACCTTAGCATTAGCGCAACTTCTTGTAAGCTGTACAACAATCACTGATGAAAAGGTACTAAAGCAACGCACTGCTAACACAATATATAGGTAAAAAAATACCGCTCGTTTCGCATCCGAATGTATTCATTTAAACATTAGAATATATTCTAATATTTATTTATAATTTATTATAGAGCTCACAGCAGCAGTAGAACACGCCATTGACTTGAATGTAATTCTACCGATCATTTTTTCTTGATAACAGAACTCTCAAACCAATAACGACCGCTGCCCTTTAGCAATGCAATCTCTGTTTGTAATTCAGGTCGGTAAAATACTGCCATTACTCCGCAAGTACGAGAGAAGCTAGCGGAGCTAGCTGAGCTAGCCATGCTCAATAAACAAATACATATCAATCAACACCATTAAATGTTAATCGGACAATACAGTATACATATAAATCATTAACACACATGCATGGACGTTTTCGCAATTTATCGTTTTCCTGATAAAATTACTATTTTAATGTGACAAAAAGCGATCGCGAAAAACCCGGAAGTAACCATTAACCCTTTAACCCTCTATGCACATGGGTCATTTTGGGGAACTTTCCTCGCCTGGTTTTCTTTGTGTATAATTGTTCATAAAACAGTCATCTTTTGATGCAGTACAACCTGGGGTTTTAGAATATTCATATTGTAAAGCTGTCATATGAATTATATAAAAATTATGGAATCATAAAGACAAAGAAAAAAATCAAACGGAAAATCAATTTAACAAAAATGTATTAAAAAAACACAATGAAATGCTATAAACAACATTTTACACTGCATAGAAATGTTATTTATGGACTGGGGGATAATGGGGAAAAAATTGAATCTCTAACTATTATACTTTTTACAAAATTCCACTATAAAAGCAAAAAACTCTGTACTCCTGATGCCCTTCCTGAAGCAGTTTGTCTATAATGCTGGGGTTGCTTCTGTAGTACAGCTGTAAAAAACGTAAAACATATGAAACTGAGCCAAAGAAAAAAAACATCAATTATTTATATAATACATATATTTATATACATCATATACACATGTCATTTTACTGTATTTACTCTGTATGCACTCTTCAGCCGGTTATTGCAATCACAGCTGTAGTTTCAACTGTGGGAGAACAAGTACACACAGACGAGTGAGACATCTCACTTTCTGACGATCTTTGGCAGTCCCCGTGTGTTTGTATCTCACAGCTGTTTGTACCTCACGGGTCACGCTTTGGACACGGACTTTCAGACAAACGTAGTTTATCCTCCGTGCATCGCACAGACAAATCAAAACTAGTTTCGGAAAGCCCTGAATACGTACTTCACAGAGGAAAAAAAAGTAAGTTGCTACGTTTTACCGTTCGCGAGTAAATTGATCATTTGTAAAACATGTGCGCCAATGCACGCGGGCATATAGGGTTAAGCGCCAAAGTCGCAATATTGCGACAAGCAACATTGCTCACTTAAACAGGCTGTATGTAAAAATGTGGTGCAGAACCTTGTTAATACTTTTCACCAGGGGTTAGTGCAGCGGCTGCTTGTCCTCCGTGTGGCCGCGGTAGAAGCATTCTGTGTACGCCAAGCAGGGACTGTGGTCGAGGGGACAGGGGCATCATAACACCGGGCATGTGGAAGAAAGTAGGGGGGGTAGACATCCACGGGGAACACGGGAGACGCGGGAGAGCCGCGGGAAAAAAAACCACATCGCTAATCGCGTTCACTGCCTTTACCAACAGTGATGAGGATGAAGGCAGTTCTTGAGAGAAAATAATCCACAAAAGTGGATTAGAAGTGTTGAAGAGCCTGTTGTATGTTGTTGAGACGATCTGACATGTTCTGAGCCCATTCATTTCATCTCCGTTTGTAAACGGTAAATCCTTGAGCCTCATTTCCACTGAGAAAAATAGTAAGCTCACCACTTCTTTGAAAGGGAAATATTGAAACCAATCTCAAGATTTCATGACTGTAAACTATAAAGAGTGCTGTCTTGATCACTGAAGGTCTTTGAAAATAATACAATTCCATATGGCCGCGAACCAGTGCTAAAACATTATCTATAATCTGGATCAGGGAATTTATTTCTATCCCAAATTCATTTCATACTAAAGATATTTCACATTGACTGTTTATAGTATTCCCTGATCTCAAATAACTCCCAAGCTACAGCTTTTTGAAGTCTTTATACAATAATTAACATTTTCCAAAATGGCCGCCACCTTGATGACGTCACAATATGCAAATTAGATGACGAATCAACTTCCATCCCAAAGTTTGGTTCAAACTGAAGATATTTCTAATTTACAGTATGCCTTTATCTCAAACCATTTTAAAGTTATAGCCTTTTGAAATCTTGAAATCAAAATTGTATATTTTCTTGAAAAAACTCTGCCGCCTAAAGGGTTAACATGCAGTACCAGGGAGCTAGCTAGCTTAGCTGTTACCTGCCTAGCACGTCCTGGTGGAACCTTTGGGAGTTAACTATTTTATTTGCAGTCATTAAATACATTTCAAATTATAAGGGCTGTCTAATATTTGTTCGAATACATATATATTTTTAATTTTAGAATTATAATTGAATTTTGAAGTCGAAGCCCTAGTGTTTAACAGCGCTGTAGAGGCTAGAGGACGTAGGCTGTTCGCTGCTCGTTCTGTGAGTGGAGGAGAACGAGCGGCCCGCTCAAACTCTATTCAGCACTTTTCACTGCTTGTATTCTTACACAACTGAATCAATGACCTCAAGTTTTCTATTAAATTACGGATTATAATACAACATGTATGTAGTAATAAGCATTTTTATGAATTACTTAGAAAAAAAATTGGGTATAGCTTCTTTAATATATCTTTATTTCGCTGCGATGCTTCAAACCCCGTCTGAATCAGTGCCGTGGTGGCGTTTAGCTACTGCTAATTTTGTATATATTGTGTGATCCCTGTGTGCTCTTACTACTGTCCTGTATGTGCGCTACAACAACGAAATTTCCCCACTGTGGGACAGATAAAGGAACTCTTATCTTTGCTGTTTCCAGTGGTGTCTGCGAGGCTAATGCTGCTATGCTAATAATGCTGGGCTAATGCCGGTTGTTTTGCAGCTTTCTGCTGGCGTCTGAGCGGTCTAAGCCTGCGCTAGCTTTAGCCAATCAGCGCCAGGTTAACCTCAAGTCCCATCAGGGCCCAACAGAGTAACCAGCCTGGAGGAGAGACTTTGTTGGGCCCCGTAAAGGTTCCTGTAAATGGCCCTGTGGGGAAAGTTCCGGCTGTGGAGACACGCAGCGACGGGGCTGGCCCTGGAAAATTACCCCGACGTTTCTGCGGTGGAAATGTGGCTTATCTAAATGTTGACGTTTTTTGGATGAGTACTTTTTGAAATATTTGAGCAATACTTTGTGGGTGTGGCTGTGTGTGTGCCATAAAACGTATTTTGCATCAAAAACACTTTCTCATTACTTGTTTTTGCTTTTTTCTAACATGTAAGATGCTGGACATGTTTGAGGAGATGCTAAAGTTTAACTAAATAGTGTTACAATCACTTTTCTGCAGGTTTGTCTGTTTTCACAAACACATTTTCTCAGCTTTTTGTTTAAGACTGGTGCTTTCTGTCACACTCCCCTCTTCTTGACTAGCATTTACAGGAGAACGAAACAAGCTAGCCTTTTTGCTGCTGAAATTAGACAGTACAGTCTTTCAGAATCTGGTTTCATATTTCTCATAATCATAGCACATAATATTCTGTGAGTCTTGAAAATCCATGACATCAAAAATGGCTGGAAGTCAATGAGTTGAGAGCAGGGGTGTCAAACAGATTCCAGAAAGAGACTGCAGTGTGGCTGCAGATTTGAGTATTTTCAGGTTAAAACTGGACTCACCTGAGGAAATAGGTGTGCTCCTGCTTAGGTTGGGACAAAAATCTTCAGCAGCAGCGGCTTGGTTTAGAGCTAATATCTCAAATTCCTTGTCCAACTTGCATGAAACAAGTCGGTACAACTATGGTCTAATTAGCTTGGCGGCCAATCATTTCTACTAATTTAATACCTCAATTTGTATTCAGGTTCAGAGAAAAATCAGGTCCAGGCACTCATCATTTGCAAAAGTAGATGGCTTTATTTATGGGCCAGAAACATTAAAAAGCACACCAACACGTGTCGGCTTGCGCCTTCGTCAGGGTGTGTGTAGAGACAAACAGTAAACCAATTTATAATGTCTGACTGCAGGTGTGCAGCCAGGACATTGAGACACATGCTGTCATAGTCCTTTTGGACACAAGGGGGAGACATTTCGTCTTCACAGTATAGTGGCAACAAGAAAAAACATAGACCAAACAAAATTATTATAAAAAACAAGAGAGGTCCAGATCATCATTCAGGCCAGGGTATTTTGTAGCACTAAGAGCATGGATCCAATATGCTTCTCTTTGCCTTAGGCGTAAGATTTTATCACCACCCCTGGCATTTAGAGTGATAACCTCAATTCCTGACACCTTTAGGGTGGAGTCATGGCTATGATGGACATCCATATAATGTCTGGCCATAGGATAATTTGGGTTATTGGAGCGAATGGCATATCTGTGTTCAGCCACTCTATCCCTCAGCCTCCTTTTAGTGAGGCCCACGTAGAAGCACCCACAGGGACATTCAAGGCGATACACTACATGGGTGGTGTTACAGTTGACAAAACCATTTATAGAATACATCCTATTAGAAGCCAGATCCATAAAAGTGTCAGTCTTCACCATGTTCTCACAGTATCTACAATGGCCACAGCAAAAGTTCCCTTTTGGGCGGGAGAGCCATGTGGTGGGTTTAGTAGATGGGAGATAGCTCCTCACAAGCTTGTCTTTAATGGTTGGGGCTCTTCTGAAGCTGACTCCTGGAGGCTCAGGGAAAACCTTTCTCAAAAGAGGATCACTCACAATAATATCCCAGTTTCTTTGTATAATTCGTTTAACATGGGTAGCCTCTTTACTGTAACTTGTGACAAAAAAGGGCTTCTGCGTGTGCTCCTGTCTAGGTTTAGGAGTGAGCAAGTCAGTCCTCTTCAATGACAAGGCTCTAGTATGAGCTTGAGACAGCAGCTCCTGAGAATATCCCCTTTGGGTGAAACGTGCTTGCATGTCAATAGACTGACTGACGAAATCTTGGTCAGAGTCACATATGCGTCTAAGTCTTTGTATCTGACCGTTAGGGATATTTTCAATTAACCAAGGAGGATGGAAACTCTCTGCATGCAAAATTGTATTGCGATCTGTTGGTTTACAAAATATTGACGTATGTAGGTTACCATGGTCATCTTTAGTAATATTTAGATCAAGAAAATGTACACTCTTACTGTCATATTCCAAATTTAGTTTAAGGTTGGCATTGAGACTGTTAGCATAAAGATGGAAAGCCTTCAGTTCACTTTCTGACCCTGAAAAGAAAAGGATAACATCGTCAATATATCTGCCCCACCATAAAATCTTGTCCTTTAAAGGGATTGTGATCAGAATATATGTACATTTCTTCCCAAAGGCCTAAAAACAAGTTTGCATAATTTGGTGCAAAACATGCACCCATAGCTGTCCCTTTCTCTTGCTTGTACAATTTATCTTCAAACAGAAATACATTATTCTTTAGCGTCCACTCCGTTAACTGTATTATACTGTATAAAATCTGTGGGGGGCATTTGATCAATGTCTCTACTGCCTAGGTAGTGTCTTAAGGCCACTAGTCCTTCCTCATGAACAATATTACTATAAAGAGATTCAAAGTCCATTGTGGCCATAATACTGGGGCCAATATTTTCCATTTGCATGATCTGTTGGAGCACTTGGGTGCTGTCCTGAAGATAAGATGGCAATTGTGAAACAAAAGGTTTTATAAAGTAGTCCACAAACTTAGAAGCAGGTTCCGTGATAGAATCATTCCCGCTAATTATTGGGCGGCCTGTTGGGTTTAACATGTTTTTGTGGACTTTTGGAAGCATGTAAAACAAGGGAAACGTGGCCTCTCACAAATTAGAAAATCATATTCTTTATTAGAAATCCAGTGTTGGTCTTTAGCCACAAGTTCTAACAAGTTCAGTTTTCATTTTGTCCATTGGGTTTGAAGAAGGCATAGAATAATAGTCTGTGTTGGATAACTGACGTAGAGCCTCTGTTTTGTATTTTTCTTTTCCCCATACACAAACTGCACCTCCTTCGGTTCGTTTTATGTCTTCTAATGCACTGTAATTCCCTGAAGCTAGGATAATTATCTAAATTAATCACAATTGTTAGTTATAAATTTCATTAGAACCGTGCAGACCTAGTTCAGACCAAGTTTAAAATGAGCCATTATTACTTTCCTGAATATTCATGCATTTTCCTGCAGAACATCAGTATGTCAGTAGAGGGCGACTACACATATCTGAGGATAAACTTCTACGTCCCCGGCAGCTCTCTGGGACGACATGAAGGAAACATCTTCCCAAACCCTGAGGCCACCTTTGTCAAAGAGATGTAAGTAACTTTTTAACCTCTCATGACAATGGCTTGGCATTTTCCATCTATGTACAGTTTTAAGCAGGGACGGGCATATATTCTCTTGTATTATTTTTCATGCAAAATAACACTTATAGCTGGGAAGTGTCCTGATCAATCCTGATCAAAACATTGTCATTGAGAGAGATGTCTCATATTTCTACTGTGGTGATTCTTGCAGTACATACAGAGCCTCGAACCTCAAAGCCCCGGGAGAGCTGTCGGTGCCCTCGGTGAACTTGCAGAATGCCTTCCGAATCATCAAAGAGGTGCAGAAGCGATACAAGACACGAGAGGCAGAGGAAAAGGAGAAGGAAGGCATCGTGAAGCAGGACTCGCTGGTCATCAACCTAAACCGCAGTAACCCCAAACTCAAAGACCTGTACATCCGACCAAACATCGCACAGAAGAGGATGCAGGGTTCTCTGGAGGCGCACACAAACGGTAAACTTTGGACTGATTTGCAGAGGGTGGTCCTCTTGAAAAAGTTGATCTAAAACTAAGAAAGAAGTAATAATGCATTTTATTTAAAGAGCGACTAAACACCAAATCAACTTTTTTTAACTCATAAACTGCATAAGTATGTTTATTGTAGTGCTGTCTACATATCCTGTTCATTTTTTTGACATTTTAGTTCAAATTAGATAAAATATCACTTTTGAGCCAAAAAACGTCTGTGTGGTGCCCTCTCAACCTTTTTGGTGGTACTACATTTGAATTTGGTTCTGGCCTCTCCATTGACTCTGAAGTTCTCTATGACATCAGTTGTTTTGTGTGACGTCAGTGATGGGAACCCATTCAACTCTCACACACCCCAGCTGCAGTTTGGAGTATTCTGGCGCCATCTAGTGGATTAAAATTAAATTACATGAGTAATTCTGAGATTATTGAGTGTGATTAGGTTCAGGTGTGTAGCTCTACAATTATCTTAGTGTGTAAACAAGGGTGGAATGAGACTTTCTGGTCTGTTAACTATTGCTTTAAGCAGCAATGACGACTCTTTTTTTGTGTGTGTGACAAGTGAGCTGTCAATCACAGCCCAGACCACGCCCAACTCTAAGCCCCCCTTCTTGTCCCTTGGTCCTCCAGGCAACGCCCTTTTTAGAGAAAAATATCAAATCTTCATGTGGGCGGAGTAAGGCTGGGCACAGGTGTTTAGTCGCTCTTTAAAAACTGAGTGCTTATCTGGAACAAAATTCTCCCAAAGCTCTTCATCTGATCAGTTCTGTTTACACTTTTGCTATTCATAGCCAATTTTTGTGGATTGAAGGCACCTGATTGTAAATCTAGATATGATCCCTAATTACGGACACCAGGGTCATTTCTTTTGTGGGAGCGCTAAACCATGACTTTTTAATGTCAAGATACAGACCAGAGTCAAGATTTGCAATATTCCAGGAATGTATTTGTCAGTGCAGTAAAACACATTGGAAAAACGGTGCGAGACTCCCCAGTGGTGCAGCAGCGCTTTTACAATGTGGGCACTTGATCTCTCAACTCAGAGATGGGAGCGAGGTCCCAGTTTTCAACATGTTTTTTAGTGGAGGGCAAATCCAACTCTTAGGGATTCACTGACACTGGTATCGGGATACTCGTACTTCATACAGGACCCGTGGGATTCTTAATTCTTATTAACGTCACGACAGCAGACGGCGAGAAAACACATAGAGTAAAGCAGACTGCACTTTGTGTTTAGGCAAAACTGGCATGAGGCAAACAAACACGTAAAACCAGGAACCCCGAAGAAACATCTGAAACTCTCCACCACACAGAGTATGGAGCACCTTTGCCTAGCACTGAGCTATCGATGCACATGTGTAATGAGTGGAAAATAACAGTTGTTTAATGTTGAAATGAGAAATATAACATTTGAAATTCCAGTTGTATTAGTTTTAGGATTTCGCAGGAATAACACAATGCAATAATATTTACAGTCGTATGCAGTACTCGTATCGGTATTCAGTATCGGCAGTACTCGGTGCATCCTAGTTGATCTTTTCCTAAACAGCAGATAAAACAGGCTAAACTGTGCCTCCCACATCCTCTCCTTATCGATTTCCTGCTATTTCCATATTTTATTTTTTATTCATGCCGCCCCCTGTTACTTGGAGGTCACTCTCTGCGCCGCAGATACAATAGCTGTGAAAAGCCCTTGCTCACCTCCTACGGCGAAGAACAACGCTGCTCAGACAGGCGGGTTTTGTGCCGCCGCCAAACCTCACGCACCGTGAACCCACAACCACAGCCTCAGAACCACAGCCTCAGAACCAACAGCCTCAACCCACAGCCTCAAACCACAGGCCTCAAACCAGCAGCCTCAGAACCACAGCCCACAGAACCACAGCCTCAGAACCGCAGCCTCAGAAACCACAGCCTCAGAACCACAGCCTCAGAACCACAGCCCAGAACCACAGCCTCAGAACCACAGCCTCAGATCCACAGCCTCAGAACCACTGCCATCAGAACCACAGCCGCTGAACCGCAGCCTCAGAACCACAAGCCTCAAATCCATTACTATTCTGCACCTTGACCCACAACCACAGCCTCAAATTCATCAAACTCACCCTTTGAACTCAGAACCAACAGCCTCAGAAACCACAGCCTTCAAACCACAGCCTCCAGAACCACAGCCTCAGTAAACTGATTGAAAAGCTCATGTCTCTCGGTTTAAGTGTTGCCATGTGTAAATGGATTTTTAGCTTTTTAACTGATAGATCTCAGAGAGTGAAAATCAATGAGTGTTTTTCTGATGTTGTTTCTGTGAGCACTGGTTCTCCTCAGGGATGTATTCTGAGTCCTTTGCTTTTTACTTTGTACACTCACAATTGTGTGTCCTCCTCTGACTCAAACTTGATCATCAAATATGCTGATGACACCACCATCATCGGTCTCATCAGCAATAATGATGAATCCTCGTATAGAGCAGAGATACAAAATGTGGTTCAGTGGAGTCAAACTAACAACCTCCAGTTGAACGCATCGAAAACATGTGAACTGGTCTACGACTTTAGTCGCAATAGTTCTCATTTGCCTGTCGTAATCGACAACTCCCAGGTGCAGATCATAGAGGAGTGCAAGTTTCTGGGTTTAACTCTGTCTAACCTGAAATGGGTTAAAAACACTGACTGAGTCGTTAAGAAAGCTCGTCAGCGTCTCTACTTTCTGCGTAAACTTAGAGAAATTACCACTAACTAAGATTCTACTTAACTTTTATCGCTGCACCATTGAGAGTTTACTTGTTGGTTCTGTGTGGTTTGGAAACATCACAGATAAAGAAAAGAGCTTTAAACAAGGTGCTCCGCTCTGCAAAGAGGACCGTGGGCTGTGAGCTTCCTCTTCTGGAGGTTCTTTATAAATCCAGACTTTTAAACAAAGCTCTTAGGATTGTTATTGACTCTTCTGGCCACCCTGGGAAAGCCATGTTCCAGCTTCATCCCTCTGGCAGAAGATATCGCTCTCTGAGATGCAGGACATCTCGTTACGCTAACAGTTTTTATCCACAAGCTGTTATCAGTGTGAACAGAGCACTTTAATGATTTGCACTTGTTTTGAAACTGTTTTAGTCGATCGATTTTACAGTGACATTTGTTTACTGTTTTATTTGTTTTATTTCTTTCATTGTCTGTATTTGTCTGTGCACACTGGAGACTTTTGCTAATGTATTCCAATGTGGTTTTTTTACTGCAAATGGCAAATAAACTGAATCTGAATCTGATGTGTCGTCTTAGCCTTTTATTTCGGCTAGAATTACAATTACTTAGCATATTTAGACAAATAATTTACACAGTTTCATTATGATTACAATTTCCTTGCAACATCAAGTTCTGGTTTAGTGAACAATCAATTTGGCAAAAGGCTGTATCAGCGCAAAATACATAGCGGTCAACTGACCGCAGGGGGCGGTGCAAGGTATGTTTAGAACACTGAGAGGACTGGGCGGCAGTCGAAGGCGGAGACCTCGGCGACCCAGTCCGCACACACAACATCTGGCTCTTGGGACGTGGAACGTAACCTCACTGGGGGGGAAGGAGCCCGAGCTTGTGGGGGAGGTTGAGCGATACCGACTAGAGATAGTCCCGAGCGGTGTTCAGTTGTTGGACTTCTGTGCTAGTCACGGTTTGTCTATCACGAACACCATGTTCGAGCACAAGGGTGTCCACCAGTGCACGTGGCACCAGGACACCCTAGGTCGGAGGTCGATGATCGACTTTGTTGTCGTATCATCTGACCTTTGACCACACGTCTCGGACACTCGGGGGACGAGAGGGGCGGAGCTGTCAACCGATCACCACCTGGTCGTGAGTTGGATCCGCTGGCAGGGGAAGAAGCCGGTCAGACCTGGCAGGTCCCGGCGGAGGAGGGGGACATCGAGTCTGAGTGGACCATGTTCTCTGCCTCAATCGCCGATGCGGCGGCGATTGAGTAGCTGTGGTCGCAAGGTCTCCGGTGCTGGTCCTGGCGGCAACCCCCGAACCCGGTGGTGGACACCGGCAGTAAGGGATGCCGTCAGGCTGAAGAAGGAGTCCTATCGAGCCATGATGGTTCGGGGGACTCCTGAGGCAGCTGTCCAGTACCGGCAGGCCAAGCGTGCTGCGGCCCGGGCTGTTGCAGAGGCAAAAACCCGGGACTGGGAGGAGTTCGGAGAGTCCATGGAGCATGACTATTGGTCGGCCTCAAAGAGGTTCCGGTAAACCATCCGGTCCCTCAGGAGGGGGAAGCAGTTTTTTGCCAACACCGTGTACGGTGCGGGTGGAGAGCTGCTGACCTCGACTGGGGATATTGTCGGGCGGTGGAAGGAATACTTTGAGGCTCTCCTCAATCCCCAGGCTGTAAAACAGCTGCAGTATATTCAAAATGCAGCAGCTCGAGTCCTGGCAAGAACCAGGAAGTACAATCGCATTAGTCCAGTCCTCAGGTCTCTGCACTGGCTTCCTGTGGCTCAGAGAATATACTTTAAAACAGCTCTGCTTGTGTACAAGTCTCTCCATGGCCTCGCACCAAAATATATTAGTGACATGTTAGCACCATATGAACCGGCCCAGACTCTGAGGAGCACAGGGACTGGATTCCTGCTAGTGTCCAGAGTCAGGACTAAACATAGGGAGGCTGCTTTTCAGATTTCATGCTGCTAAAATCTTGTAGCAGTGCATACAAATGAGGGATCTTATATTTTTATCTTTCTTTTTAATGTACTGTGATTATTTATGATTTTAATGCTTTCTTATTTTGTTCAGCACTTTGAGTTGCCTTGTGTATGAATTGTGCTATACAAATAAACTTGCCTTGCCTGGAAGTAACAGTGGGTGTTTTGCTGTGTTACTGTCAAAGATACAAGAGCGGGTTTGAAGGGACACGGTAGAGCATTGGCCTTTGAGCCAGAGGGTCGTGGGTTGGAGCCCGACTTTCACCATCGACTCCCACTGTCTGCTGTCGTTGTGTCCTTGGCAAGACACTTAACCTCTGGGAACACCAGCCACAGTGGGACGGCTGCGGCTGTAAAGTGACAAACTGCCATAGTGTCCTTAGGCAAGACACTTCACCCCCATTGCATAGTATGAGTCTGGTGTATGTGTGAATGGTTGGTGGTGGTCGGAGGGGCCAAAGGTACATACTGGTTGCCTCGCTTCTGTCAGTGTGCGCCAGGGCAGCTGTGGTTACAGTAGTAGTTTATCACCACCGTGTATGGAGTGAAAGAATATTGACACATGCGCTATATAAAACCAATGCATTATTATTAATATTATATGTGCCTGCGGGGGCTTATGGAAGTGCCTTGTGTGTGCAGCATGAGCACGCTGTGATTCTCGTAGATGCATCGTCAAAACTGCGTTTTTCCACGGTGAGTATCTGAAAAGTTAATTGCTAGCATGTGTAGTAAAATTCAGCAGGAAAGCCACATGAGAGCTACCCACCATGTAGACCATGGTTGACGTATGGTGCACCCCTGATCTACGTCCTCCAGGAGTTTAATTCAAGCTTTAGCACAGTGATTGAGGTGCTGTGGGGAAAGTACTCACCTCGTTGACCTGAACAGTGTCTCCAATGAACAGCGCATATTTCTTGTCCTCATCTTTCTTTCCCTCTTTGTTCAACAAATCAGTGAAGCCCAGACTGATATTCAGCACCATCCCTAAAGAACAAAGCAGTTGTGTAAATGTACGCAATACTTTCATATAAAAAAGACAGCTTTGACAAAGACCACATCTACAGCACAGACCAAAAGTTTGGACATACTTTCTCATTCAATGAGTGTCCTTTCTTTTCATGACTATTGACTGTAGATTCACACCCAGGCTGTGTAAGGGCTGTTTGACAAATAAGAGTGGTGAGGAGCTGGGCCAGATGACCTGGCCTCCACATTCACCAGACCTGAACCCAATCCAGATGGTTTTAGGGTGAGCTGGACCACAGAGTGAAGGCGAAAAGGGCCAACAAGTGCAAAGCATCTCTGGGAACTCCTTCAAGACTGTTGGAAGATCAAGAGAATGCCAAGAGTGTGCGAAACAGTAATCAGAGCAAAGAACTGAGAATATGACATTTTTAGTAATTTCATACTTTTTTTTTTTAGTACGTACATAATCCAACATGAGTTAATTCATAGTTTTGATGCCTTCAGTGTGAATCTACAATTTTCATAATCATGAAAATTAAAAACTCTTTGAATGAGAAGGTGTGTCCAAAGTTTTGGTCTGTACTGTAAATGAATGTGAATGATTCTATGCTCTATAGTTAATCTATATCTAACTCAGGGATGTCAAACCGGTTTCAGTGATGCCAAGGGCTGTCAATCATGAGCGCTCATGCTTGTAGCGGCCCGCATGCTCAGTTGTTTGTTTTTACGGAGCCTCCGAATCAAACATCCATTAGGCTCTGGAACTACATGAAAACTGAACAAAGAATTCTAGAGCTACCCATTTACAGTGCCTTGCGAAAGTATTCGCCCCCCTTGAACCTTTCAACATTTCGCCACATTTCAGGCTTCAAACATAAAGACATAAAAATTACATTTTTTTGTCAAGAATCAACAACAAGTGGGACACAATCGTTAAGTGGAACGAAACCGTCCCTGATAGAGCTGCATGGGACGATAGTACCACTGTTTCTGACCTATGCCTATGTGTACAACGTTGCGCTGTTCAGGCTGTGGGAAAATGTATGGGCATGTTGGTGCTACAGAAAAGGGCACGGTGGTTAAACTTCACCAATCTGTCTGTTAAACAGAAGACATATTGGAAATGCCGGTCTTTGTCTTAGGCTCAGCTCTTGCCTCCATGCAACAGCGGTGCGAAGCCAGGAAGCGGGATGACCAAGCGCTTCACCTCTGTGAAATTACTGCATTGTATCTATGAAAGTCAGCGAAGTGAAGACCGACTGTCAGCTGTGTCAGGCTAATATTAACGCATTTCTTCCGTTCCGCATTTTCCTAAAAATCAACACCCGTTAGAGGCAGTTGCTACAACTGTACATGCCACAGAAAACAGTACAACAGTACATTATATACGCACACAACAGTGTGTATATTTCAACAAGGACAGATGCCATTTTTTTTGCAGGTTTAATAATACAACCAATAACATTTTAATTATATCAATCCAATACCCTGTAATTTCCCCTCTGTGAAAAATTTAAAGACAGACATCACCTCTTTTGAGCTTGTACTGGTTTTTACTATTGAGCACCAGCGATCCCTCTCTGAACTCTATCCCCATGGCAAACCTACAAAACATTTTTGCACAGGTAGAGTTAAAAGAGAAAAATTATGTATTAACACAAAACGAGTAGAGACCCACCCCAGGTTCTTTGTGAGCTTTGAGACCAGCTCAGGCTTTTCCTTCTTCACAAATTCAAACAGAGCATTGGAGGCGTCGGCGATCTTCACCCCTGGAAAAAACATACATACATTTGTCAAATAAACACATTTTATATTTTCAAATGACGACAACTCTTCTGACCAGTTAGGGACCTTACTTATTTATATATTTATACATTTGTTTATCTATATTTATTCATATTTTAAGATAAAAAAAAATTAAGATTGCTTCTTATAATGAAAAAACACTTTCCTGACAAAAGGTCAGCGCCCAAAATATTGCACAATATTTCTTATTTTTACAGATGAACAAGTAGTGTGAAAGACTTTCCTTTTCAAAGTAGGCTTTGCAGTGCGCGGGGGTCTGCTCTTTTTTGTTTGTAGTAATTGTGAAAATAAATTGTTACATATCCCGTTGGCGCAAAGCTCTCACTGACATGTATTTATTAGTGTAAAGGTTTGATGTCTTTTATACACAGTGAGCTAGCTACTTTTAGCTATCAATAGCAAGCTAAGCTAAAACTTCCTTCCGGTACAACTTCCTTCCTTCTATCTTGCTTTCACTTGTTGCTAAATACAAGAATGTTTTATTTTTGGTCAAGGCACACAAGAGCAAAATGTTTAGGCATAAGACAAAAAGCAGCGCATCAGATAACATCTCTGCCTACCTCTGCACTAATTAGGGATGTAAATCGGTGACAGTTTAAGCCAGGGGTGTCAAACTCATTTTGGTCCGGGGGCCAAATACAACCTAATTGGATCTCAAGTGGGCCGGACCAGAAGATGCTCTACAAAAATACCCAAAAACGGTACAAAGTCCAACTTTTTGTGCACATAAACACATGTATGTAAAAGTTCCTTTAAAACACTGTCCTTTAATACTCGCTCAGTTTGAACTGTAAATCTGTTACAAACTTAAATGTAACAATGAGTTTTTTACAGTGCAAATAATGTAATGTATTTACAATATTACACTGTAAATGGCATTTCACAATATTTATATTAATAAATGTATGTTAGCTTTGTTTAAAGGCTCATTAGAGTTTTCTCTGTAATGAGGTAGATAGAAAAAAGCACTTTAACACAGCATATCATCATTATCATCAGAGAGAAAGCATCAAACTGACCCTGATTCAGTTGAAATGAACAAAACAACTTCAATAACGTGATCCATTCTTAACGACTGCAGCAGTGTCTCTGTGTACAATACAGTCAAATGTCCAAAAATCATCACCTCCATTTGCAGCTTTGTCACTACACCTGCTTTTACCGTCGGTACCAGGCTGACAGCGTAGGACCAGTCCACACTGTCCAACAGCACCAGCAACAACAGCAGCACCAGCACTCAAAACTCCACTGATAGTTTCAGTAACACCACAAATGAATATGTGACATCAGTAACATCAGTCTCTTATCAATGGCAACATGTTGGTGACAGCGAGTGATTTCTCAGACTATGACTGCAGTCTGTATGAGAGTTTTAACAACTCTCACCGTGCGGCTGCGATGCTAATGCCATGTTTTTAGCTTGTCTTTATAGTAGAAGCACGAACCTCTTGCTCTGGGCACAAACAGACTGCTGTGTCTTCAGGGCCAGACACATTTATCTTCTGTCTTCTCAATTCTCTGCTCAAAGTAGGGCTGGGCGATATGGTTGGAAACTATATCACGATATGAGTCATTCATATTGGTCGATAACGATATATATTGAGTTTTTTTTTTTTTAACCTAAATATATTTGTCGTGTGGGCTAACCAACCTTAGCAGCCTTGTTTAAAGTCACGGGGCGATGAGGCTGGAGGAATATGTTCACACTGTGTCCCTCGTTCCTCCTGTGGACTCACCACCTGCAGAGGGTCAGTGAGGGGCTGGTGCTATGAGACTTGGGTGGCATCTCTGACTGCCACCCCCCTGACCCAGAAATGGATTAAAGGGCAGAAAATGGATGGATGGATGGATGTGTCCCTCGTTGTTAGTCCTGGTTTAATCCTGGTTTTTTATTCCTGGTTTAGCTCCTGGTTTAGCTGTTTGAGGGTCTTGTGTCCCCGTGACCGCTCCGTGCGGCTCTCTGTGCCGCACATGCTTCCCGAGGAAAAAGTTCATCTCTTGCTTTCGCCGAATACGTCGGGTCTGTCCACTGCCTCTGCCGCCGCACATGTTATTCCGCGCACGTACGTGCATAACCATTGACACGGCATTGAAACACAAGCTATAGATCCATGGACGCCACGCATGGTGCGGTTGTTGCATGGGTTTGACACCCCTGGTTTAACCGGTGGTTGACCGTCACAGCGTTAACCGGTCAAAGCTGTCTGTTAAAAAAAAAAGAAAAGGGGGAGAGGGGACGTCTCTTAAAAACGCTATTTTAAGCCCTATTTGCGCCATGTGACGGGCAGGGCCATCTCTAGCTGTGTGCGCCCATGTATTAGTAAACTCTGGGCCGACTCATACCGCACGCGCCACATATGCATGCACACACACTTTCCCCCTCTCCATACGTAACATCCAGACGCATCATCTCTCCCCTCTGTTACCGTCAAAGTTGCACACTGGCGCGGGTCAGAACTACATTGGAGCATACATTTACACACACATATACAGGTTTTGTACACACACGCGACAGACCGGAATGGTCTGTTGCGCTCCTCTGTGTCACGGAGCCCAAAGGATCCGCACAAATACGCGGCTCCAGTCAAACCACATGGAACATGTTTGTGTTTATGGTCCTTAGCATTAGATCAGATCCACACACATCACTTGTATTTAAACTTTAGCGGAGACCTGCGAGACGCGGCTCTTCACTCGCTGCTCTGACCATGTGGACGAGCCGTTGTTTGCTGCTAAAAAGTTTTGGTTTCAACCCGCAGCTCAGAAGAATTGGGAAGATTAAAAAAGCAGTTCTCTGTGCGCAAAGGTGCCGAAGCTGTTGCAGGTTTTGGCACCGCTGTCTCCGCTCTGATCCAGTAGAACGCAGAGCTGCACTTATGAGAAGTACGCGGGTCGAAATGGCTGTTATTTCAAAGAACGTGGAATATTTTAAACTACGCGGTTAACCGGTTTTAACCGGTTAATGAGGCTCGGTCATGAAAATTAGGTTTTTTACATCCCTAGCACTAATGCAACCACAGGCTCAAATGCTGCTGCTTACAGGTGCATTCCTGGGATGACTAGGAAAGATGGCGCCAGTGTGTTTGGCTCGCTGTCTGTCCCTGTCAGCACTATTTGTCATAGTATTGTTTCTGTCATCTATTGCCACAAATGGATTGGCTCTACTAGTGTATGATCGTCAGACGCTTTTGGATCTCCGACCAGCTGTTCAAAATATTGTGAACTTTGAGCAGGATAGGCCATATTCTACTCTGCCCCCACTCCTGTGTGGAGTCCCGGGTCACCTGCTCTGTGTCCCTGCCCCACCTCCGCGTAGAGTCCGGCGGAGGCGTAGGGGAAGGCGCAGCGGCCCCCTCGTAAAGCTAAAGGCTAGTTTGGCATGCTCTTCCTCAGGATTTAATGCGGATCGTCACAATCATCACTGCGTTGTTTCCAGTGTTGTGCCAGTTCACAGCTTTTCTGAAATAGTTCAAGTGAACAGTTCATGTTCAAAGTTCACATTTTTAATTCTGAACTAGTGCAAAGTTCAGTTTACTTTTTTTGTGAGATATTCAAATAAATATTATTTTCACACTACGAGCTAGAAATCACATACAATATATATATATATATATATATATATATATATATATATATATATATATATATATATATATATATATATATATATATATATATATATATATATATAATATATATATATAATATATATATATATATATATATATATATATATATATAAAATCATACATACATACACAATCTATATATATAATCACACACCCACACACATATATATACATATATATATTATATATGTAACACACACACACACGAGAGCCTCTTGACTCTAAAAACAGACAAGATCTACATTGGGAGGAAAAAACTGAGTTGCCACTGCTCATAAGTGCTACAAACCGTAATGCGCTGCAGTGCGTGTCCCTATACTTTATGTCAAATGTAAAAGGGTGGTCCTGTGTCGCTAACTCACCCTTTGTTATCATCACAACTCGGGCACATGTGAGTCCAACAACCAAAGAAAAGCACTAGCTCACAGCGCGACCCAGTCCGCACACACAACATCTGGCTCTTGGGACGTGGAACGTCACCTCGCTGGGGGGGAAGGAGCCAGAGCTCGTGGGGGAGGTCGAGCGATACAGACTAGAGATAGTCGGCCTCACCTCCACACACAGCTTGGGCTCTGGAACCCAACTCCTTGAGAGGGGTTGGACGCTCCACTTTTCTGGTGTCTCTCGCGGGGAGAGGCGGCGAGCTGGGGTGGCCATATTCATTGCCCCCCATCTCAGCCGCCACGTGTTGGAGTTCTCCCCGGTGAATGAGAGGGTCGCGTCCCTCCGCCTTCGGGTGGGGGACAAGTCTCTCACGGTTGTGACGGCCTACGGGCCTAACGGCAGTGTAGAGTACCCGGCCTTCTTGGAGTCCTTGGGAGGTGTACTGGACGGTGCACCGCCCGGGGACTCCGTTATTCTCCTTGGGGACTTCAACGTCCATGTGGGAAATGCCAGTGACACTTGGAGAGGGGTGATCGGGAAGAACGGCCCCGCTGATCTGAACCCGAGCGGTGTTCAGTTGTTGGACTTCTGTGCTAGTCACGGTTTGTCCATCACGAACACCATGTTCGAGCACAAGGGTGTCCACCAGTGCACGTGGCACCAGGACACCCTAGGCCGGAGGTCGATGATTGACTTTGTTGTCGTATCATCTGACCTTCGACCGCGTGTCTCGGACACTAGGGTGAAGAGAGGGGCGGAGCCGTCAACCGATCACCACCTGGTTGTGAGTTTGATCCGCTGGCCGGGGAGGAAGCCGGTCAGACCTGGCAGGCCCGAGCGTGTAGTGAGGGTCTGCTGGGAACGTCTCGCTGAGCCCCCTGTCAGACGGACTTTCAACTCACACCTCCGGGAGAGCTTCTCCCAGGTCCCGGCAGAGGAGGGGGACATTGAGTCTGAGTGGACCATGTTCTCTTCCTCTATCGCCGATGCGGCAGCTCGTAGCTGTGGTCGCAAGGTCTCTGGTGCTGGTCCCGGTGGCAACCCCCGAACCCGGTGGTGGACACCGGCAGTAAGGGATGCCGTCAGGCTGAAGGAGTCCTATCGAGCCATGATGGTTCGGGGGACTCCTGAGGCAGCTGTCCAGTCCCGGCAGGCCAAGCGTGCCGCGGCCCAGGTTGTTGCAGAGGCAAAAACCCGGGTCTGGGAGGAGATTGGAGACTCCATGGAGCAGGACTATCGGTCGGCCTCGAAGAGATTCTGGCAAACCGTCCGGCGCCTCAGGAGGGGGAAGCAGTGCTTTGCCAACACCGTGTACGGTGCGGGCGGAGAGCTGCTGACCTCGACTGGGGATATTGTCGGGCGGTGGGAGGAATACTTCGAGGTTCTCCTCAACCCCCCCGTCACGTCCTCCGTCCCGGAGGCAGAGGCTGAAGATGTTGGGGCGGATACTTCCATCTCCCTGGCGGAGGTCACCAGGGTGGTTGGCAGCCTCCTTGGTGGCAAGGCGCCGGGAGTGGATGAGATCCGTCCTGACTATCTAAAGTCTCTGGATGTTGTGGGCCTGTCTTGGCTGACACGTCTCTGCAACATCGCGTGGCGATCGGGGGCGGTGCCGATGGAGTGGCAGACCGGGGTGGTGGTCCCTCTCTACAAGAAGGGGGACCGGAGGGTGTGTTCCAATTATCGTGGGATCACACTCCTCAGCCTCCCTGGTAAGGTTTACTCCAAGGTACTGGAGAGGAGGCTACGGCCGATGGTCGAATCTCGGATTCAGGAGGAGCAGTGTGGTTTTCGTCACGGTCGCGGAACACTGGACCAGCTCTATACTCTCCATCAGATACTCGAGGGCTCATGGGAGTTCGCCCAACCTGTCCACATGTGCTTTGTGGATTTGGAGAAGGCGTTCGGCCGTGTTCCACGGGGTGTTCTTTGGGGGGTTCTCAGGGAGTACGGGGTCCTCTGCTGAGGGCTGTTCGGGCCCTGTATGACCGGAGCCAGAGCTGTGTTCGCATTGCCGGCAGTAAGTCAGACCTGTTCCCGGTGCATGTTGGCCTCCGCCAGGGCTGCCCTTTGTCACCGGTTCTGTTCACTGTATTTATGGACAGAATTTCTAGGCGCAGCAAGGGGCCGGAGGGGGTCCGGTTCGGGGACCACACGATTTCATCTCTGCTGTTTGCGGACGATGTCCTGTTGGCTCCAACGAACCAGGACCTGCAGCATGCACTGGAGCGGTTTGCAGCAGAGTGTGAAGCGGCTGGGATGAGAATCAGCACCTCCAAATCCGAGGCCATGGTGCTCGACCGGAAAAAGGTGCCTTGCTCTCTTCAGGTGGGTGGAGAGGTCCTGCCTCAAGTGGAGGAGTTAAAGTATCTCGGGGTCTTGTTCACGAGTGAGGGAAGGATGGAGCGTGAGATTGACAGGCGGATCGGTGCAGCGTGCGCAGTGATGCGGTCGCTGTATCGGACCGTTGTGGTAAAGAGGGAGCTGAGCCAAAAGGCAAAGCTCTCAATTTACCGGTCAATCTTCGTTCCCTCCCTCACCTATAGTCATGAACTTTGGGTAATGACCGAAAAAACGAGATCGCAGATACAAGCGGTCGAAATGAGCTTCCTCCGCAGATTGGCTGGGCGCTCCCTTAGAGATAGGGTGAGGAGCTCAGTCACACGGGAGGAGCTCGGAGTAGAGCCGCTGCTACTCCACGTCGAGAGGAACCAGTTGAGGTGGCTCGGGCATCTGTTCCGGATGCCTCCTGGACGCCTCCCTGGGGAGGTGTTCCGGGCACGTCCCACCGGGAGGAGGCCCCGGGGAAGACCCAGGACACGCTGGAGGGACTATGTCTCTCAGCTGGCCTGGGAACGCCTTGGGGTCCCCCCGGACAAGCTGGAGGAAGTTATTATTATTAGTTTATTTGATATGGACATATCAACTGCATTGGACAAACCAGATACATTGTTTCCAGTGTTATAGCAAAACTGCTAATTTGCAACACCTGTCCATAGTGTGTGTGTGGATAGGGAAGTCTGGGCGTCTCTGCTTAGACTGCTGCCACCGCGACCCGGCAACGGATGAAGCGGAAGAAAACGGACGGACGGAGTACTCCGCATCGGCGAAAACGCTCGAAGCAGTTGCATAAGGTCATGGGAGCATGAAAACGCATATGTTCACAAGCACTATGGTTTAGTCCTGGTGTAGCTCCTGTTTTGGCTGTTTACAAGTATGTTCAGTCTGCTCGCTCAGACCACCAATATCCCTATGACCACTTTGCGGCTCTCTGATTGGTCGCTGCACGAGCATCCAAAAACGCTCAGCAAAATGTATCTCCTGCGTGAGTTGATTTTCCGCTCCTGCACCTCCCCCGCGACTTCACCGCACAGTCCGTGCGTACATTCCGAGACACACATGTATTTTGACACTTGAACGTGCGTCAACATTAACTTTGCATTGAAGGCCCTGTGGGGTTCCTGTATTTATAATCCGAGACATTCTTCCCCAGACACACAAGCTGCTTCCTGTCTGTTAGGAAGTCAGTGATCCACCTGCAGGTGGAATTGGGCACGTTGAGCTGGGAGAGCTTGTTCTGGAGCAGGGATGGTATGATGGTGTTGAAGCCAGAGCTGAAGTCCACAAACAGGATCCTGGCGAGTCCAGGTGCTCTAAGATGCGGTGGAGGGCAAGGTTTGTGGCTTAGTCTACAGATCTGTTGGCTCTGTAAGTGAACTGGAAGGCAGGAAGAGTTTGTAGACATCCGTTTGTAGACTCGTGCGCCATTGTCAGGGTGGGGGGGGAGTGGGGACGGTTGAGTTGTGGGGTGAGGTAACGATTTAAGTGTCGTTGGAGGTGTGGTTTGAGCAATGGGGGGTAGTAATGAAACTTTGAACTTATTTCCAACCTGGCATGTTAACCCTCCAAGGTCTAGGGTCATTTTGGGGAACCTTCCTCGCCTGGTTTTCTTTGTGTATAATTGCTCATAAAAGAGTCATGCAGTATACTTTGTTTTTTTCAGTACAACCTGGGGTTTTGGAATATCTATTTTGGAGCTGTCATATCAATTATATAAAAAATTTGGAGTCATGAAGACAAAAAAAATCTTAACGGAAAATCCATTTCACAAAAATGTATTGAAAGACACAATGAAATGCTATAAACAACTGTTTACACTGCATAGAAATGTGTTTTATGGTCTTGGGGATAATGGGGAAAAAATTACTATTACTACGTAACTATTATACTTTTTACAAAATTCCTCCATAAAAGCTAAAAACGCTGTACTCCTGATGCCCTTCCTCAAGCAGTTTGTCTATGAGGCTGTGGTTGCTTCTGTATCACAGCTGTAAAATATGTAAAACAAAAGAAACTAAGACAAAAAAAAAACAAAAATCAAATTTATATATACAAATACATTATATACACATAATATCATTTTACTGTATTTATTATTGTCTATTCTCAATAATGCGAACTCCTCTGGTTCCTCTGAGCACTGCTGCCTATGCTGCAACAAGTAAACACAGAGGAGTGAGCCATCTCACTCTCTGACAATCTGAGTCCCCGTGTGTGAAACAACTTTACATGCGGCTGTGCCTGGCTCACGGGGCACCGCTTGAAGATCCGTTTGGGGGACTGACTTAGTAGTTTATCCCCCGTATGTAGCAGAGACAAACCGAAGGCTGTTTCGGAAAGGCTGGAATGTGTACTTCACGGAGATAAAAAAAAAAGTAAGTCGCTAGCGTTCACCGTTTGCGAGTAAATTGATAATTTGTAAAACATGTGCGCCACCATCGTCGGCGATTGCATTGTCTTTTAAGGGTTAATGTTGGCAGCGATATGGACGAACACACTGTCACTGAGCAGCAGACACATTCTCTAGTGACGCTTGCGCATGATTTTTTTTTTTTTTTTTTTTTTTTTAAGTACTGAATGCTATTTTTTAAAGCCTAAAGTCCTGATGTTATATCAAAACACTGTAAAGTTGAAGAAAATTCAAGCATTTTCAAGCACATTTCAGACCTTGAAAACACCTTATTGAAATTCAAGCATTTTAAAACCAAATGGGCCTGGCTGGTTTTATAAGATTTGAAACATCACATTGTCAACTAACCGTGCTTGAGTTCCTTGAGCAGCTCCTCTTCCACCTGGAGCAAGAAGTTGTAGTTGTCCTGCATTTCTTGCGTGGGGTCAACCATGAGTGTGCGCACCAGGTTGGAACAGTACGACTTGTAGCGGATCCCCATGGCGCAAGTGATGGCTCCAAAGTGCATGTAGTTTTTATCACTGCAACAAGAGAGAACGGAGACTAATGAAGAAAATGCATGTGTGGTCTTTTTTTTTGTATGACGCTCCAAGCAAAGCTGAATAATCAATCAGTTTTTCTAAGTAAGATCATCATTGATCCGTGATGCGTTCGGATCATGGATCTATTATAATATCTGTATAGGGTATTACTAGCTCTGAGCTGAAGGAACCATGTGCCCGGGGGATGACTAAACTAGAGTTGCCTAGAATTTTTTCCAAAGAATTCAATGTAAACTGAAACAGCTCGACCTCACCTGACAGAGAACTTTATGAAAAGCTTTCATAAAGGTCTGATTTTGTGGGAATTTTAATGTCCCTTGTCGTCCTGAACTTTTTTTTATGACTTGAACTTCAGTTTTTTCAAGTAGTAACAGAAAACAGACAACAATCCACATAATATCAGATTCAGTCCTTGGCAAGTGACTTCAAGTGAATTGCAACAACATACAACAACAAAGACTGAAAGGGTCTGAAACTATTAACATGAAAATACAGTTAAAAAAAGGTCAAAATAAAATAAGTACAAGAAATCATATTGAGGCCCAACCAAGTGCTGCTGTAAAGTTTGGAAAATGCAGCAGTATAAACCTATTCAGATGCCTGAAGTATTTGAGCTGGAAGACGTCATTAATTGAATGTAAACCAGATAGGGGCCCCATTTGTGGTTATAATCATCCAGTCTATTTAATAGTCTAACAGACAACCTCTCTAAAGAAGCTAGTTGGCCTAGGGAAGTTTGCCAGTGAGTAAATGATGGAGCTGAAGGAGACTTCCACTCCATTACTAATAGTTTCCTTCCCAACATGATTGCTGTTTGGGCCCATTGTGAGAGATGAGGGCTCAAAACTGAGGGGTCCCCTAAAAGTCTATGACAAAATGGAATATCTTTGCCAAGGTTCTCCCCCACTACCCTATGGACCAATGCCCAGAAGACCTGAACTTCTGGGCACTCCCACAGCATATGCAATAACGTGCCATTATCCCCCTGGCATTTCCAACATGTATGATTATCTGCTAAGTAGGGGTGGGCGATATGGACAAAAATAAATAAATATTTTTTTTCCAACTCCCGATAACGATATTGTCACATCTTTAAAATGATCTGTAATGTTTTGCTGCCAGGGCATCTATATACAGTGCCTTGCGAAAGTATTCGTCCCCTTGAACCTTTCGCCACATTTCAGGCTTCAAATATAAAGATATAAAACATTTATTTTTTGTCATGAATCAACAACAAGTGGGACACAATAGGGCACTGTCCGGTTTCCGAAATGTGCTAAAAATAGCTCAGATGACTGCGCATGCGTGCTTGTTTCGGACAAACATTGTGTCCGACTCAGTTAAGTACTACTGTGTTCTCCACATACACGTGTGTATTTATTTGGGCTGAATCATTGAATCATGGTGACAACAAAACACTACAGTTATGGTGCTTGTGGGAGCTATTTCAGATACTCTGAAAAGGACTATATTAAAGCAGTAACATTCAACCAGTTCGTTAAACCACACCATCGGACCAGACCAGGACCAGACCAGGACAAGAGCAAGAGGTGGGTGCTTGTGGTCGGCACAATTTCTCTCATGAAAATGTTAAAAAGGACACATGTTTTTTCAAAACACTTCGTCTGTGAAGCTGGACCAACTGTGGAGCATCCAGATCCAGTCCTAGCTACGTTTAGCTGGGACTGGACCTGGACCGTCTGGACCGCTGTATCAGGTCCGTCTGAGCTCTTCTGAATGTAGTTAGCACAAACTTTCTCTTTATACCATTTACCCCCATCCATCCATTTTCTTCCGCTTAATCCGTTGCCGGGTCGCGGGGGCAGCAGTCTAAGCAGAGACGCCCAGACTTCACTATCCAGAGTATTAAACAGGGCAAGTTGGTTTTATTTATTTTAATTTAATTATTCAAATTTTTAAAATCAGCGTCATTAACAAAAACACTCAACTTTTGTTTATTTGTCTTGTCCTTTTTAAAAATCCTTAGCACCCCTAGCTGTTAGGATCCCAAAGGCTCAGTGGATATGGGGCTTGTTTTAACATTTGACCAAAACAAAGCTCAACTGATGCCCCTGGAGGACACGTTCATAGGGACTACTTGAAAAAGTGTTTTTAATAAAACCCAATGTATAACATTTCATTTGGAAGTGATTGAATAAGCTAAGTTGTAAATGCTATTTTCAGCATGTCGGTCTATGTAGGAATCAATACACAGCCAGCAGAACGGTGGCTGAATGGTTAGCACTCTTGCTTTGTGAGAGCCTTGTTTATCTATTGTTCATGCCAATTTTTTTTAATTGTTCACGCTATTTATACATGTATACAAGGAAGATGTACTCTTATAAATACTGCTCCCTTATTTTGCTCTTTTTTTATACATTTTCAAATTAATCCCAAACTCTTTTCCAGTCACCAAAACACATCGTAAACAGCAGTTTACAATTTGCTCCTACATCCATACAACTTTTTGTTAATTGCTATAATAGTCAAATATACTCATTGGGCCTCATTCACGAACGGTTCTTAGGAACAAATTTGTACGTAAATCCTACTTACGCGGTTTTTACGAAGAAAGTGGCATTCACGAATATTTCTCGTAACCAGAATTTCTCTTGGGCAAGTACAAATCCTACGAGTCTTCAGGAGCACTCGTACGCATTCAGTGCCGACATGTTCACACGCCGGGGTTGTCCTCTTTGGTGAAGTCCGTCATATCGATGTATGTATTTATTTATTTGTAGTAATCTTTATTAGTAATCTTTATTTATATACCGCCTTTTTCACTGCAGATCTGGCCTACTTTTTAATTCATTTTGAAATGAAATGTGCCAACGCTTTATCAAATACATTGGAAATCTTGCCGTGTATTAGTGACCCCTTCCTATTTATAGGGGGCATTTCTTTATCCACGGGCCACAGAACAACGGCATATATACTGGTGCTGCAGGAGGTTACTGGGTCCGCGCTGAGTCTCTGTGGACCCAGCGCAGCACGGTGGCTGAGTGGATAGCACTCTCGCCTCTCAGCAAGAAGGTCCTGGGTTCGAATCCCAGTCGGACCAGGGCCTTTCTGAGTGGAGTTTGCATGTTCTCCCTGTGTCTGCGTAGGTTTCCTCCGGGTATTCCGGTTTCCCCTACCACTAAAAATATGTCCAATAGTTCTAGCATGTGCCTCCTGTACTGGTCCCGCTCCCATCTCTGTGTGGAGTGAGAGACAAATGCCCAAAAATTAACAATTGTAAACCCCTTTGAGACTCAGATCTGCAGTGAAAAGGCGGTATATAAATAAAGATTACTAGATTACTACTACTATGGATCTAGACGGGTCTGCACTGGTCTCTCCCATGGATCTATACGGGTCTGCACTGGTCTCTCCCATGGATCTATACGGGTCTGCACTGGTCTCTCCCATGGATCTATACTGGTCTGCACTGGTCTCTCCCATGGATCTAGACGGGTCTGCACTGGTCTCTCCCATATACGGGTCTGCACTGGTCTCTCTCCATACGGGTCCGTGCTGCATGCTCCTGGATCCATACGGGTCCGCGCTGGTCTCTCAAGTCTGGTCTATGCGGCCTATCTTCGGTCCGCGCTGGTCTCTGCGCACCGGTCTCTCCAGTCAGGTCACTCCAGTCTATGCGGTCTCTCCTATAGGTCCGCGCTGGTTTCTGTGTGCTGGTCACTCCAGTCTCTCCTCGGGTCTGCATTGGTCTCAGCGCTGGTCCGCGCTGGATCTCCTCCCAGGGTCCAAAATATTTTGAGATTAATCTCAAAACATTTTGAGATTCATCTTTAAAATAATACATAATATATTTTTAAATTAAGCTCATAACATTTTGATATTAATCTCATCATATTCTTAGATTAATCTCATAATTTTGCTAGTTCGACTTTATTATCATAATATTTCGACTTTTAAGTCAACATTTTATAACTTTATTCTCAGTCTGGTAAAAGAAGAAAAAAGGGTTGCTTTAGGCCTGTTGCTGTTTCCTCTGCCGTCTGCACACGGCCCTGCAGTCCCTTATATGGGCATTAGTGGGCGGTTACTTATGCTAAGTACCTATGCTAATGAAGCACCTGGCACGCGCGCTGTACTTACGAGGAAATGGGATTCATCAATCTGAGAGAACAGCTGCAAACAATTCAGCGGCTTACGAGTGCGTTGATGAATCCCACGTAGGGACTTCTTAAAAATCTACTTAAGGACAACTTGAGAAGAAAGTTGAGTAGTTTCTTACGAAGTTATTCGTGAATGAGGCCCATTGTACACATTCATAAAGTCAGTTAAACCCATACACAAAGGCATGTCTGCGGAACTATAATCTTAACCTTCTCGTCACAGTAAATCGTGGCCTGAGGCCGTCACAAAAAACAAAAGCAGGAGTTTGTGGTGAGATCCGTGGAGAGGTACCTGACCACGCTGAACTTCAGACTGTAGTTCCCTCCGCTCTGGATGATGGGAGGATAACACATCTCCACAGTGGACGGGTCAGCTCCTCCCAGGTATTTCTTCTCCTCAATGGCCTTTTCCACAGACTCTGCCAGCTTACTGTGGCGCACTTTCTGATGGACAAGATACAGACGCGTTTATAATGAAGCATCCTTGCAAAATATATCAGTCAATAGAAGCCAGAGCAAGTACAAAAAAATTATGGTTCATAACATTATTTGAAGCTACTTGGCTTAGGAGACAATGCTGATTGACTGCTTCAAAGTTAACCCAGGTTCTAACGTTGCATGCGCACACAAACACTGACATGAAGGAACATCCGATCACAAATATGAATATATCGCAGTGCATGTTACAGCAAACAAGGCGCACACAGAAAGGTGGCAGAAAATCATAATGTGTCTTATCCAAACTGTCTTGTGATATGTATGTTACTGCTCTCTGTTGTTTATTCTACTGTTTGTCGCATGGCGCTGTAAAGATGGCGACGTGGCAAAAGCTCTGGTGTGTGTCGTCTTCTCTGTCTGGTGCACACTGGGGTAGTCTTGCAGTTTTTCCAATGTGGTTTTACTGCAAATGGCAAATAAATGAATCTGAATCTGATCTGAGATCAGATTGCATGAATGCATAATTGTGTCCATGAATGTGGACACCGGTGTTAACAATTCAGGTACAATAAAAAATTGTGGACACAAATATAAAAAAATGATGCAAAAAAAAGCTAAGTGTAGCTTAGGTCCTGGATCTATAGGCCGTCCATCCATGTGGAGCGGATCCCTCTCTCAATGTGGATCTCCAAGGTTTCTCACTTTTCTTCCACTGGGTTTTAGAGTTTTTCCTTGTCGGTGCAGGGGGGTCTGTTGGACAGTTAGTTTCTAACAAGAAGCACTGTGGTGATGATCCAGGACACTAAAATTCTACAACATGAAGGGAGATTGATCAACATTCATGGACATAATTGTCTCCCGCCTTGAAATGGGGTCGTCATGGATTAGCCCTCTTTTTAGCACACATGGGTTGGCTACACATTTCAATTTGGCACACAACATTGGCCCACTCTAGTTTCTCCTACTCTGAAACTGAAGTAGGTTCACTTCAGGTAGACCAGGGTTGCTTGTAAAATCCTGTTACTTACGTGGCAATACAAAAAAAAGATTCTGAAAGAGTTAGAGGAAGTCACAGACTTGGAAATTTCTTACCACCAAGAGAAATTGTTTCTCCTGTTGGGTTACTCTGAAACTTATAAACTTTATGCTTATTGTTTGTGTGTAAATAAACTGGAAGAGATAGACGATAGATATATAAATTTGGTCTTCACTTCATCTGCGTCAACGATCTCCATGACTCGCTCCTTGAAGAACTTGGAGTAGACTTCGCTGGTGATGGCCGAAGCCTTCTTCATCAGGTTAAGCTCCTGGTCTTCCTTCACTGCCATTGTATAGGCAACTACGGCACTGATGTCCACCTGAAACCACAGAAAAGAAAAATATACAAGGAAAGGGACTGTGTGTTTCGAAGGGGTAAGGTTACATTTAAACAAGAATTATCATGCAAAATAGTCTATGCTGAGCTTGTTAGGCCCGAGCCCCGAACGGGGTAAGGGCCTATTGCTTTCACAATGTTGAATGCAAATGGTGGCGGTGCATGACGGACGCGTCAGCGCCCATCACTCACCCCGACGTGACGGTTGCGTGCGTAAACTCAAACGCTTTAAAATGATGTATCACGTGCCATTGAAACCTATATTGTTTTTGCTCAAGACGTTGAAAAAAAATGCCCTTATTTCTTTTTTTCTTCTGTACTTTGAGCCTCAATTTGACCCCCTGAGCATGCATGAAAAGTTGTACAATTTTGCCCAAAAATCAGACCTGGTGAAAAATTTGATATTTTGGTGTTTATTTTTATGGGACTCAAAAAATGCCAGAAGAGCGCCACCTACAACAGCCAAAATAATACCCCTATGGGAGTTTGAGATCAAGTTTGTCGTAGAGCCATGAAATAAAGTACACATGTTTCTCAAGTCAAGACAACAAAATATTATGGCCCCGCCCTCTGACAAACAGGAAGCCCATAAATTGCACTGCAAAATGGAAAAATGAAAAGCAAACATTTTCATTCATGTCGGTTGGAAAGCAACTCCTCCTCGGCCGTTTTACCGATTCGCCTCAAAATCGCTCCACATCATCTCAACACATGTACCTTCAAAATTATTTCAGGGATTTTTGATCCGTGGAACAATGTACGAGCAGCGGAGCGGCAAAATGTGACCTTTTTTTGCCATTTTTTTACGATCAAAAAACATCTTCCATTTGCAAAAACAGTCTGATTTGCACAAAACTTTAATACATTGTTCAACTCTTGGATCTAGGTCATATAAAAGTGAAATATTTGAAATTGACCCATTAGCGCCCCCTACAGACTGAAGCAAAGTTTTACATTGGAAGCCAAACCAACTCAACTCATCATATTCATTACAATTTCACAAACTTTCTTTTATGGCTACGGGACCAAATAATGGTGCGGTAGCGCCACATCCAATAAGCGGTGCGACGTGGTGCGGCGCAGCGTGGCACGATGCGGCTTGGTGCGCGGCGGCATGGTGCAGGGCGTTGTGGTGCTGCACAATGCGGCGAGGGCCGTTCGACGCGGCTTTAATTACACGTTACAATTGGCGACGAGAGTGCTGTACAGCGTTGGTGATTTTTGCAACTTTGTAAAAAAGGTGATGGCCACTTGCAGATGCTTTCAGTTTAAATGGTGAAATTGTCATTATTATTAAACGCTGTGAAGAGTTATGGGGGGCTCAGACTGGATCACGTGTTGCAACGACTTTCAAAGCAAGAGCGTGGAACTGAATCTGCGTCTCGGGACGGACTGCACGGTAGAGGCGCGACAGATACAGGAGCAGAAAATCGACGCACGCAGGAGATAAACATTGCTTCCTCGGGACGCTCGTGCAGCGACATATCAGAGAGCCGCAAAGGGGCCACGGGGACATAGTCTAGCGAGCAGACTGAAGATACTCGTAAACAGCCAAAACAGGAGCTAAACCAGGACTAAACCAGGATTGACAATGGGGACACAGTGCTTGTGAACATATGCCTCCAGCCTGAGTTCTCATTCTCCAGTGAGCGTAAACTAGTGTAAACAACCCATGATCCGGTTTGAATGCGGCTTTAGGGTTATGCACTCCAAGTATTCAGAAGCTGCAAGGATTAGATTTGTCCAGTAGATGTCAGTATTACAATCTGGTATAAGCTAACTCAGAGGCTCCAACACATTTGAAGCAATCTGGCAAAGAAAGCCTTGGTGTGTTACGGGGCTTCTTTTGTACAAATACATTACATAATTTTAAAAAAACCAAAAATGTGTATACTAATAATTTTAGGGTCAAATAATGCCTGACCGAACAGGATTTAGGCTGAAGTCGAGACTTATTCCTGTTGACATGTAGTAAAAGACTTAACCTCTTAAGACCCGCTTCATTTTGGCTTGTGCACAAAAGTTGGGCATCCCCAAATGTCTTTAAAAACACATCTTACATGGAACATGCTTGTGTGATGCATCATATTAAAGCTAGAGCCTTCTAATTTTTGTAAACATACATAAAAATATGTCATTTCTATTTCACTCTGCATTCTTTTGAAGTTTGGGGGAAAAAAAAACGTTTAGCCTCACCTAAAATTTTCAATTTCCAAAAGGCCCTAAAAAAGGCCTACTTCATTGTAAGATCACAATATTCAAACCCTATGGTCATCGTGTTGTTGGCAACACCGGTCTCAAGCTTCAGACTTCTAGGTTTTATTGTTTTCATGCAGCTTCCATTCGGAACCAAATTGGCACACTTGGTGCCAAATGGCTTTACTGACATTTCATAAAAACCATATTTTTTATTTTTGGTACTTATAAGTTACTAATCTGTGTAATTTAACTTTTTTTTTTTTAAGTGTAAAAGCATATAATATATGCGCTGCTCCGAGAGCGTCCCTCTCCCTGCCTTTATGGACGCTTCCAGAGGCAGACTTCAACGGAGTTACCCCATGTCCCACCCATTGTTAGAACTAGAGCTGCAACTAACGATTATTTTGTAATCGAATAATCTATCGATTATTTTCACGATTAATCGAGTAATCGCTTGGCTGTGAATTGTGTAGAAAAAAAATATTTTTTCATCACAAAAAGCTTAAGTGGCAACACTCGAGGACGTATTGATGGCGTAAACTTAAAGTAAATGTTTGTAACAGGCTCTTTGTGCTAATTCTGCTATCTGGATGAGAGACAGATATTCATGAAATTATAAAAACTAAGTCGTTTTTAATCAAAAATACATTTTCATGTCATTTTTGCTCTGTTTGAGTCCGTGTGAACCAGAAAACGATTAATCGATTACTAAAATAGTTGTTGACTATTTCAATAATCAATTAGTCGTCGATTAATCGATTAGTTGTTTCAGCCCTAGTTAGAACGCTTTCCCTATTGGCTACTTAGACATGTCAATCATTTGGCAAAAGAGCACTTCCCCAGCCGTCTGGCTAACAACAAATGCAGACGAACCAGGTGTTAGCTTGTTTTATTCCCAGGGGTGTTGCAGACTAACGCGGGCGCGTATCTCCTCAAGGAAGGTCTCATTTTGTAGCTAACGAGTTGGCTGTTGCTCCTGCTGCTACTGTTGTTCCTCGTCTTCAGAGATGCAGATCCAACTGTGTTCTAACTATTCATGACTGATGATTAATTAAAATATGAAGCAATTACATGTTTGTTGTACTACATAGTGTATATCTAGAGAAGCAGGTGGTGATGGAGGTGAAGCTGGAGAAATGATGGCGTGTGTTTTTGTTGCCGTCAGAGAGAGTCAAAGTTAATTTCACCAGAAGTCTCTGATAAAGAACACACAATCATCATATTAAAACATGGACACCACACTTCAGAATACTTTCACACTTCATATTAAATTAATAGTTATTAGGCACCTTGCTTTTTTCAATTTGCAATAAACTGGTTAATAATAAAATACAGCAATCCTTCCTGTATTTAATATTAGAGGTACAAGCTTTCACAGCAGGAGAAAGACGCTCTAAGGAGTAACAGAACAATAATATGATACAAATAACCAACTTAGAAGCATGGCTAACCACTTTAAACCTGTTGAAGTGAGACTCATCTGCAAATATCTTTTATTAATGACAAAATAAACATTTGTATAATGTGCTTTTATATCATCATACTATACTTATATTTAGACTATTGTATGAAAAGTGTTTCATAATAAGCCTAATACAGTAAATATACAGTATTCCCAGTCTTAGTAAGATAAGATAAGACTATTGATCTCACACAGGAGAAATTTACATGTCACATGTAAATGTGACATGGATAGAAACAGTATGTGTATATCATTTTACATGCCATACTATTTTAAATGAATACAGATAACACGCGTTAGCATACTATAGCTGCTGTCTCCATGGACCCTTCCATGAAAACGTGACTGTTTCCTATGTGTAGCTTTAATATTTAATCTGTGGGTTATTTTCTCCCTAAAGATAGCATTACAGATTTTGCGCCGGGAAGTAACGATTGTGAAAATTTTAAATAAAAAACGTACCCGAGGCACCAACCTCCTCCATTTCTGTCACAGTAGTTATAGTCCGCGGGGCAATACAGCTCTGAACGAGCATCGACCAGAATTATCAGCTTGTCCTCCATAGCTCATTTGTACCCTCTGGGAACACCAGCCACAGTGGGGCGGCTGCGGCTGTAAAGTGCCAAACTGCTGTTGTGTCCTTAGGCAAGACACTTCACCCCCATTGCCTTGAATGAGTCTGGTGTGTGAATAATTGGTGGTGGTCGGAGGGGCCGATGGCACATACTGGTTGCCTCGCTTCTGTCAGTGTGCCCCAGGGCAGCTGTGGCTTCAGTAGTAGCCACAGCTGCTACAACATCACCACCGTGTATGGAGTGAAAGAATAATGACATGTAAAGCTTCTTTGAGTGTCCAAAAAAAGCGCTATATAAAACCAATGCTTTATTATTATTATTATTATTTTAATCTTTAAACCACACAAGCTGTATTTCCTTTTAAAGCTTATTTTCTTATCTACATTAATATACAAGTAATACCAGACTTTACACTAAAAGGATATAAGGCTTATGGGCACAAAACAATTCGCATTTCTTACCTTTGGACTTGTGCTGTGTCTATAATACTGAAGTAATCCATACTTGCTATGACTCATAAATTCTGTAAATGTCCATTGAAAAGCAATAACCACTTGTGATTTCTGGAATATTGTCCAGTATGGAGATATAATCCATTAATGTGGGTTTCTCTTTACTGGAACAAAATCCTCTTAAAAGACATTACAAATTGTTTCTTGCCACTTTGTGAAAACTACGATGATTTGGCCCAAAACAAATCCTATCCTCAAGTTCTTCTTTTTAGCTAAAAAATGAGACCTGGGTTGACGCAATCTGTGCTTTCGTTTTTATTTAAAAAAAAAAAACAAAGTAGCATTTGTAAGCAAGTCTTAAAAAAAACAAAAAACATGCAATGCCGCAACAGTGAAAATTTTGGTCAGAATAACGGTGAGGTTAAATTTTCGTACCGTGGCACCCCTGGTGGGTCTTAACAGTCTGTGACGATAGCTTTCAAACAAGGGCTGGGACCCCTATCTTTTTTAAAGAGACAAGCTCGTACGGAGGCAAAACCCACGAAGAAACTAACAAAGTCATACAGGAAGGTAGCTTGTAAGTGCCAAAACAAAGATTTGTTTTTATGGTGATGGATGACCTATCTATCCTTACCCATCCTGCTCCACCCAGAGACTACTCCGCCTCTGCTGCTGTGACCTGTCCTGCTCCACCCAGCGGCAACTCCATCTGTGCTGCTGTTGCTCATTATTACTATTGTAAGCTTTTTAGAATTATACATTTTATTTTTGCTGCTAAAAGGACACCTGAATTTTTCCTGCATGGGATCATTACTACGGGCACAGGGGGCGTCTGTAGTACTGCAGACTAAATTCACGTGGGCTACCCACAAAAATGTCCCATAGAACTCAATGTACATTAAAACAGCTAAACCTCAGCTGACAGAACCAACAGCTTTCATGAAAGTCGGATTTTGTGGGAATTTTAGAGTCCCTTGTCATCCTAAACTTTTTTTCTTCGGTTTTCTTTAAATCCACAGTTTTGTTCCACTAATTCTGCTCGTTTGGCACCCGCTCTACTGCTGCTCTTATCAAAAGCTCTGGTCAGAGCGCAGCCGAGCCCCTCTGTACACGTGCATGAGAGCCGCACACGCGTCTTTGGCGCAAGACATCATGGGAGCTCATCTACTGCGCAAAAAATAATCACAGAGCTTATTCTCAACTATGAAAAAAAAAAAAAAAAAAGATGGCCTGTTGTGGTTTATTCTGTTTGATCTCTTCACATCTTTACTTTTAGACACAATCAACACACATTATTAATGCAAGGAAAAATGTATACACTGCATCCTTGGAGACTTACAAATCAAGCCTGAGGACACATTTGTCTTCCTTGGATTTAATGTAAGCCGGCACTGTGTGGGTTTTTGTTTATTTTTGTATTGCTGTGTTTTTAATGACCCGCATGCCATAGCTACCCCTACCACCTGACTGTCACCAGCCAACTGGGCGTCCCTCATAATCACTGCACCTGCGTTAATGGGCAGGCAGGCTCTTAAAACGAGCAGAGAGTGGCAACAACAGCACAGCGACGAGCACGGAGAAGCACGGACTAGCACGGAGAAACACGGAGACGCATGGAGACAAGAACAAGCCACGAAGGAGGACCACGAGCGGGACACATCAAGTACCAAGGAGGCAAACCGTGAAGCGATCTACATGCAGCGGCGGGGCTCATACCCCGCCTGCGCAGTAAGTAGCGGTTCAAGACGCGTTTACCCCTTGTGGCCTTTGCCGTATATTCATGTGCTGTGTTCTGCTTCGGTGTGCTCTCTCCCCTAGAGGTCTACGGCCCGGGGTCCGCAGCGGCAGCTGGAGACTGCAATCCGTGGTGAAGAGCGAGGACGCAGAGGCACTGGGACGTACCATGAAGCGACCTACACACAGCGGAGGGGCTCATACCCCGCCTGCGCTGTAAGTAGCGGTTCAAGACACGTTTTACACTCATAGCCTTTGGCCTATCCGTGTGATGTGCTCTGCCGGTGTGCTTTCTCCCCCTAGAAGCGGTGTCCGCCATTCGCATTGGGGACGAGCGACGTCGACCTGCCTCTGGCCCGCTTTAGTCTCAGCCATTGGGGCACAATCCCCCCGGAGCCCCCACACCAGAGGTTTCTGGGTTTTAACTAAGGACTTTTATAACTTTTATCCTTGTATTTTTATTTAATAAACACTGTAATTTTAAGAGGTTTTGTCTCTTTGGAAACATCACCATCGCTCTCATCTCCCATAATCAGATAATTCGGCCCCTTTCACTTCTACAACCTTCATCCTCTGCAATTAAACCCCCCCACCATTACATTAACACCAACAACATTGATGTAACCAGGGACTGCAGATGGAAACTAGCTGTTTAGCTATAATCTGGTGCAGAACATATCTGTCTTTGAGCTTAATGTCTCTGCACACTGTCCCTTCAAATAAAGACTAAACTAAACTAATTTTGTCTTCTATTAGTCATGTATATGCCAAGCTTTCTGTGCTAATTTTTAACTAACTTGTGCCTGTGAAGCACTTGGGCAGCTGTAATTGAAAACGTGCTGTATAGATAAAGATGACATTGACATATTCTTGTTATTTTGCTACAGGTGCAGTACCTTCTCGAGCCCATCAGCAGACAGTTTGTCATTCCAGCTCTTCATGTATTCTCCTGGAAACTTGTCCTTGAGGAAGACGCCTACAGACTTCCCCTCTTTGGAGCCTTTGATCGCCTCAATCATCTTGTCAAAGTTGGCCTTGTTACTTTCATTCTAGCAGACACACAAACACAAGACATGGTTGTACAAACAAAAATCTTTCATTTGACTGAAAATCTGATCTAAAGATGTGACAGAGGTAAATACATATGTCTGAAAACTAGTTATAAATCCAAACTGTTTTAGAGCCAGGAAGTAGTGATTTTTTCCAGACGTTACAATTTAGAATAACCTTATTCTAAATTATTAATCATTTACATTATATTTTGCTGGGAGTTTACGGAAAGAAAAATTTAAAATAACAATAAAATGTTCTTTCATGTTCTGAAATTAATTCTGAGTCGACAGCTCATTTTACTTCTCCAAAACATTTACATTATCTTTTTTGAAACAAATTGCAAATCCAAATGTAAACTCATTTTATGCTCTATGGTTGTTCTAGTGCCAAACATGCATGTGAATACTGAGACAAAAGGACATGCATTGAAAACATCCTGTTCCTTTTTCAGTGTGTGAATTTAGGTCCTCCAGCATGGTACCTTTTCTCTGGTGAGGAGGGTGATGGGGGGGACTCCGTTGGCATTTTCGTTGCCTTTTGTGATGGCCACCTGTTTGAGGAAGTCCACCTTCTTTTTACTGGCAAGAAAAATGATCTTTGACTCACAGAACACCATAATTGTGTCCGTCAGCTCGTAGCCAAACAGCCAAGTCTGAAAAATGACAAAACATATTTTGCAATTTCAATTAGATTGAGACAAGCCCAATACAGATCAAGTATTTGATTAACATAGACGTTTTGAGGGGTTCTGATGTTTGAGAATCCAATATTCTAATCTGATAACCTTTTAAAGCAATAGCCAAAATACTTTACTACTTTAAGTAATCAATATAAACGAAGAATCGAGTAATCCAATCATGTTTTATTCCAGAAAACATTTCCAGAAGCAAACTGCATAATCATATGTTTTAGAAAAAATGTATTCAGTTATAACAATGTAGGACATTCTACATATATTATACTTCTTCAGTGCAGAGCCAGAACTATCCACAGAGCCTGTGACAAACACGCCATAGACTGTATATTAGGAGTGGCTTAACAGAGTGCTGAAGCCACCATAGTTTTTGTCAAATGCGGAAGATTCCGATTTGAACATAAGGTAGATGGAGCCAATTTCCTTATATGGGCATGTGCTATGTTTGTTCTATCTTAACAGAGGCAGAAATCTACATACAGTCTATGGTGTCTACCCAGAATTTAATTGCAGTCACAACCCTGTTAAAGCTCAATGTACCCACCACATTACTTTTGTTTCACTTTTATGCATGTTTACAAGGTTATAAACTAGGGCTGTCAAACAACTTTTTTCAATCGAGCTTAAAAATTGATAATCGTAATTAATCGCATTTCATTTCCTCAAAATTATGACATTTTTTGAATAAAATGACAACACTATTAACATTCTGTCTTTCTCTAGTAGACACCGACCAAAACTATTGTTTGTTACAGGAATGAGAGACATTTCAGAACAGTCTGAAATGCAGACTGTCATTAAATCTGTTTGATTTGCTCACAACATTTAACTTTTGGGCAAAACCAACATGAGCTGGTTGTGGAAGGGAAAAATGAGGTACCCCAGCTTTAATTTAGCATGTGCGCTTCGGGAGAAGAGACTGAGGCTCCGTAGTCCAGCTTCAGAGGTGTTTTTATTGCATGCACAGGTTACGCACAGGTTACACAAAGACACGCACACAACAAGCAGAGAATAGTCCTGTGCGCGTGACGTTATGGCGGCGTCGTTTGTCGTGTTGCTGTCAAAGCGACAGCCGCAGGAGGTGGGAACCTCTGTACAGAGCGGCCGCAGCTGCCCCGGGTCTGAACGCTGTGGCCACGGAGGATGCGGACTCCCGTTCAGTCCAACTGCAAACAACAGCAAGTGCCCCGCGGTGGCGCGCATCTTCTTTATAAACTTTAATTCCCAGAGAACCTACCTGCTCTGTTAACATCTACACACGCACATGTCCGTGGCATTCTGAGTGTTATTATGGGATGCAAGGGCGGGTCATTTTGCACGTGCATTGATGAAAATAATTAATTTTGACAGTCCTATTACAAACACATGGTGATCATCAGTGCTTAATGCCACGTAAACAATGCACTCGTTTCCCTGTTCACATCGAGTTACAGCTGCTGAGGAGTCGATCTAACACCCACCAAGATTGTCATAATTATACATTTTAAGTTACAGCCTGATACAAATAAATACACAAGGTTTTTAAACACTAATTGGCTCCCATTGACGCACTTGTATGGCTGTGGATTTGGCATAGACAATTTCCTCATCAACTCCAACAGAAACAACGATGGCATCCACTTTTCCAAATTCATCTTCAGCTTTCTGTGAAATAAAGAAGTTATAACATGAATCAGTAAACTATAAAACGCTTTGAGGGAAAAAAAAGAATATAAAATTATGATAATTAAGATAATAAACCAAGATAATGTAAATATGCTAATTAAGCGTATGACATGTGCCAGTGTTCAGGGAATCTTAATGGAGGCCTAATGAATGATTCTTTCAGCAAATATTTGGTCGACTCACTTTTGTGGTTAAACTTTACAATCGTGCTAAAGTTTATTGAACAAATGGCAACTTTTTTTTTTACGTGTTACTTGGAGAGATGTAAACGATTTCCAAAACATTGAACAAAGTGATTTCCAGTCTACAAGAAACGGCACATGCGAGGATGGTGATGCTGATGTATTCAAATGCTAATTAGCCAGCAGCTATCGTTAACTTACTCTTTTAGCAAAATTCTCTAAATCAGGCGATTTTATGTGAATGGAGAGAAGTATCAAATACTTCAAGTCAGCGATGAGAATGTTTTAGCTGTACAACATCTCCAAGGTTTGTTCTAAAAGTGACATTTTAGCGATGCAAACTTGGCAGGCTAACGCAAGCTAGCGAATAGTGCTGCGAATGGGAGAGTGCTAACATGAGGTAGCGTGTATAGTTTCAGGCTGGAAAACTAAAGGTTGGGTTTTAAGAATTAGGCATGTGCGACTAAACACATATGGACAGACTTAATATGCATTACACTGAGTGCCTAGGTCGGTCGGAATAAGAGCATACACGCGTCACAAGCCGCGACAAGTGAAGTGAAAAGCGGCTAAAGTTAGCGGCAAACGGGGCTCTTTACAGCTGATATTGTAACCTAACACAAAACCAATACTAGGCTGATTTCTACCGCTTAATAATTTACCTTCCAGTTGCTGTACAGTCGCTTTATTCGGCGGTAGTAAGCCTCCTTGTCCAGGTTTACCGCCATGCTGCTTTCGCTTTCACTCCCCCGAGAAACTCACTCCAGATCCCGGCTTCTCTCGGTGACTGCAGGCCGCGTGTTACAACCCACAAGTACCAAAGGACGCTTTGCTTTATTCACGCCTGCTGTACTCCTCCTCCTGCTGCTGCTGCTGCTACAACTGCCACTAAAGCAAACGACCAAACTGATGCTGCAGAGTTACATATATCTAGCTAACTAACGCTATGCACCGCCATCCAAAAGCGCGCATGCAAAAACAATTCCTTTTTAAACACCGGTTTAAAATCTTTACATTACACCAATAAAATATCAAATGCATGCGCCCAAATCCAAACCGAGCAGCCACCAACACTGTTTTAATTAAGCGGCGCTGTCTCCCCCACCTCTCGTTTAGTATTCCCTCCCCTTTCGCTTTTCCCCCCCATATCATTTTACAAAAACATAATTTTCACAATATATGAATACTCCAGACGCATCGCAAAATAATTCAGGCAATTAAATGTATGCAGATGAATGCGGTGAACAATGCAAATGTGCGAGGGTTGTTGTAAATACATTTCTGAACGTGTTTATTTGTTTACTACGCATTTTATTGTAGCGCCCTCTGCTGTGTGTGGAGGGAGCTGCGCTTTCCCGCCACGGTGGGGTTTCCCGCCATCGTCACACGAGCAGATCTCGCCGATGTGTTCTCGCAGAACGAGATGTGGATGAGTTCATCAAAATAGAAGAAGTGATGCTTATAATATACAGTCTATGCTTATAATACGTGCGTGGAGTGGTCATAAATATATAAATTAAGTGTATGTCTAACTTTTTCCGCATCATTATGTAACTTGCTTTTCAAGAAGAAATCGAATAAGGGCTTTGAGAAAGGTATGCTTTTCATGTAAGATTTGCGTGTAATTTAATTAATCTGTTGCTCGATAATTAAAAACTACACCAATTAGCTAGATATGTGTGATCAGTACTTAACTGCTTCTACATAATTTTATATTATTGCAGATAAACTTTATTTAAAAAACAAAAAAACATAGACGTAGCTGCCCACTCGTTGCTTGGATACGGCATCACCCAGCTTGGTTGCTAGCACTAGCTTGGTTAGCTTACAACGAAAGATACCAGTTATTTTATTTATTCCCGAAATTAAAAACAGCCACATGACAGCGAAAATACTATTTTAATTACATTGTGATGTTTTGCTGCATGTGTGGATCCAAACTACTTAAGGTTTAGTTGATAACTTGGTAGAGTTTACATTTGTTAGCCTACGCTGCTAATGAAAATCTTCGTTTGTCGCTGTTGGAAATTAGATGTTCCGTTTTGTTTCTGGATTATTAGTGAAACGTCATGAGTGGACGCTCCAGACACGTGTTAGTGAAAAACCAGCATTATGACGAGAGTGTGGAGGTTCATGAGGAGGACCAGGAGGTGACCAGCGTCTATAGCCCACCTCCACGAAGTATGCAGCCTCCGGCCGGGACGCAAGGAGGCCGAGGTAGGGGCCTGATGACCGGGGGAAGCAGCAGCGACGAAGAGCGAGCCCAGAAGAACAAAGAGCCGCCTGGAGCCAGGTATGGATGTCAGAATATGATGACAGAGAAATGTCAAAGAGCAATGATTGTAACTATTAGCTACACGTAGGCCTACAAGAACATATTGTACTAACCTATATCTTTATTTAGCTACATTTTTGGAATAGTGTAGAACACACGGAGTTTGGGGTTACATTTAACCATTCTGGCAGACCACTGGAAAGTTACAGGGCCACCAACATCTGGAGATAAGATAAACCTTTATTAGTCTCACAGTGGAGAAATTTCAGTGTCATCGTTGCGCACATTACAGCAGAGAAAGGAAATAAGAGCACTCAGATTGCACACATCAAATTGAGTCTATTATTTAAGATAATAGACAATAAAATTAAGATAAAAATGAAATAAAAAGATAAACTCTGGGCTATAAATGCACTAAGTTCGGAAGTATTTACAGATGTCTATACTATACATTAGCAGCGGAGAATATGAGAATATTAATATGAGCAGAATAAACATCAGAAATAATATCACCAGGTAAAGTGACTTGAATGGGAGAATTATCAGATGGATATGTAATAATAGTAAGTAAGTAAGTAAGTTTTTATTTATATACCGCCTTTTCACTGCAGATCTGAGTCTCAAAGCGGTTTACAATTGTCAATTTTGGGCATTTGTCTCTCACTCCACACAGAGATGGGAGCGGGGTCGCCAGTACAGGAGGCGCATGCTAGAACTATTGTACATATTTTTAGTGGTAGGGGAAACCGGAGTACCCGGAGGAAACCTACGCAGACACGGGGAGAACATGCAAATACAGTCAAATATCAACAGGTAAAGTGACAGTGAAAGGCAGAATATCAGATATGTAATAATGCAGTAGTACTGATAACAGGTAAAGTGACAACGTTACTAGTGAATTATCAGTGACACTTGTACAGACTCAGCAGTTCCTGTTACACATTCTCGTTGTACAGTCTGACAGCAGCAGGAAGGAACGACCTACGGAAGAATTAGCCACTGAAGCTGCTCTCCAGAGCAGAGAGTGTGTCCTGCAGGGGGTGACAGTCATGGTCCAGCATAGATGTTAGTTTGTCCAGGATCCTCCTGTCCCCAAGCGATGCTTAGAGGACATGTTACAGAGAAAAAAATTGTTTCAGCAAAAGTAAAAAAAAAAAAAACCTCTCCACTCTTAAGCCTCGTGTATACTTGCGCGGCGTGGCTTACGTTAGCGGTTGCGGTGGACCTACGTAAGCACAATTGATGTTATACTGGCGCGTTCCCCTTACGGAGTTTTGAGGAGAATGTTGTAATCCCACAACAAACCACATGAGGGCGATCACACAGGAGCGGTCCCATTTACGCTGCTACTTTGTCCTCTTCAGAACAATAATAGCAAACAAAGCTGTTTGAGCTCGTTACACGTGTTTCTACTGTAGGTTTATGTGATAGTTTTATGGATTCATTATTTTATAAGTCATTTCAACTGTGATGCTGTGAATAAAGACACAGTTCTTGTTGGAAACATAGTTATTATTAAATAGTTTTCAGCACAAACAGCAAAACAATAATAGTGGTAAATATGAGACAAACATGAACGATTTACGAGTGCAGTTATATATATATATATATATATATATATATATATATATATGTTGGATAGTCCACAGTCTCCTGTATATCAGGCTCTGAGCCCAAACTGCTTTTCCTTCGAAGCACAAAAGCTCTCTGCTCCATAGTGCCTCGTCCATGTCCCTGCTGCAGCCGCTTCATGCTTCCTTCCAATACACACACACGGACCAATCACAGCGGAGCTTCCTTGCGGCGACCCTTACGTAGTTAGAAAATTTCGATGCTGCGCGGCAGGCGACGTAAGGGCCTTGCGGTGACCAACGTGTTGCGCAAGTGACGTCACGTCACCTCCGTAAGCTCCGCGCTGCGCGAGTATACACTAGGCTTTAGTTGTCAAATGTTCCTTTCTGTCTTTTGTGTCTCCTCCTCCAGCTCCAAGTCCAGACTGAGTCCAGATGATGATGAGGATGACGATGAAGAAGAGGAGTCTGAGGAGGAAGAGGAAACAGATGATGATGATGATCAGCCAAAAACTCCAGAGGGAGCGTACAACCCCAACGACTATGCCCACCTTCCCGTCAGCTCAGAGGTAAATGACAGAAGCCATAACAAACTGTTTCTTAGGCCCCACCATTCCCTTACCAAGAAATGGTAGCACATATTTGTTAAATTATGAGTGATATAAGGTAGCTCTCTGCTCTCCTAGGTGAAGGAGCTGTTCCAGTACATTTCCCGCTACACGCCCCAATCTCTGGAGCTGGACCACATGTTGAAACCATTCATCCCGGACTTCATCCCGGCTGTAGGAGACATTGACGCTTTCCTCAAAGTCCCACGCCCTGACTGCAAAGACGACGGCCTGGGACTGATGATGCTGGATGAGCCCAGTGTGAAGCAGACAGATCCCACCGTGCTCATGCTGTGGCTGAGAGAGGAGAGCAGACAGCACGGAGACATGCAGGTACCAGGATAGAAAGGGGAGAGCAGACAGCACAGGGACATCATGACAGAGAGGATCGAGAGAGGACTGAGATAGCTCTGAGAGAGGACAGTGAGTAAACTTCTGTAAACTGTCAATGAAAAGGAGAAGGCAGTTTTAAGAATTTGGATTCAGCCAAATAAACAGAATACAAGTTTCTTGCCAATAGTGTTTTTCCCTAGTTAAACGAGTAATCCCTCCCCCCCTCTCTGCAGACCCAGAAGGTAACCAGCGTGGCCTTCCCGGAGTCGAATACTCGCCCCGTGGACCACTGGAGTGACAGCATCACCGCCCTGCACCGCTCCAAACCCCCTCCCACAGTGCACTTCTCCAGAGCCATGCCTGACGTGGACTCACTGATGCAGGAGTGGCTCCCAGAGCTGGAGGAGCTGCTGTCCCGGGTCGCTCTCCCCTCCGCAGAGCTAACACTGGACCTGGGAGACTATGTGGACCTGGTCTGCCCCCTGCTGGACATCCCAGTGCACGGCAAGAACACACGCATACAAGCATTGCATCAGCTGTTCACGGTCTACCTGGAGTTTAGGGATTCTCAGCATTTTACACAAAGAGACTGAGGCCAGAGACTGAGGCCAGAGACTGAGGCCAGAGACTGAGGCCAGAGACTGAGGCCAGAGACTGAGGCCAGAGACTGAGGCCAGAGACTGAGGCCAGAGACTGAGGCCAGAGACTGAGGCCAGAGACTGAGGCCAGAGACTGAGGCCAGAGACTGAGGCCAGAGACTGAGGCCAGAGACTGAGGCCAGAGACTGAGGCCAGAGACTGAGGCCAGAGACTGAGGCCAGAGACTGAGGCCAGAGACTGAGGCCAGAGACTGAGGCCAGAGACTGAGGCCAGAGACTGACTCGGACCGAAGACTAGACTAGACTATACAAAGCATTCACGTCCCCCCAGATGAAACACTGAAAGACTAGCTGCTTCTCGGCATATTTACAACTGGCCTCCACGTTGGGAAACCTGTACATCTATCGTCTGAACCAAGACTAAACAAAGAAGGAACCCCATTCTGGACCAGAAATGGACAGACAGACTATAAATAAAATGTCTGAGAACTTTTTATCGTTGTTATGAATTCTTGGCCCAATCATCCAAGTCACTTGTAAACATTGTGTTAAATAAAAGTCTTTATTTCTCTTGTTCCAACAGTAGTGTGGTCACATTACAGGAAATCGGACCATAGCACCTGCTTTGTTTGAAAGGTTAGTATACATTCTGGGGAGGTACAAATAACTCTAGCTTTAAGTAGAACAGTGGGAAGCAGTGGCCTTAATATTGAATAAACTCCATACTGAAATGGTTGAAAGAACTAATATAAGCAATTTTTTTGACCATAGACATTATATAGATGGACAATGCTAACCCACTAGCTCAATGAAGCCCAATAGGGAGGTGCTCATGGACAAAGTTTTGCTGCAACTCGCTTTGGCTCATATCGACTTGCATTTAACACCTCAAGCTCACAAGCCCCCACCGGCGGGGGCAAACGAGAAAAAAAAATACATCTGCTGGCAATAGCAGATGTATTTTGAACTTCATAAGCCACAAGCTATATATCATTTTAAAGCTTATTTTCTCAGCTATATTTATATGTAAGTGTAAACGATATCAGACTTGCATTAAAAAGATACAACGCATAATATGGGCACAAAATAAATCACGTTTGTATACGTCTCTTACCTTTCGTCTTCTGCTGCTCCAACAAATTAGACTTTCCCCATCCTTGCTGAGTCTCTTTCTCTCCGTAAGTCTTCAGTGAAAAAGAATATCCACTTGTATTTCCCAAAGTATAATCCATTCTTCAAAAATAATCCAAAAACGTGAATTTTTCTTTTGCAAAAAAAAACGCTCTGAAAAGTGTTCAGGCTTCTCTTTCACATTTCACCAAGTTTGAGCTTTGTTTACCCCCACAAACATCATATCGTGTTCCTTGAGTCCTTAGCTTTAAAAAGAGAGGTTCCATGAAAAGATAGGAGCAGGTTTCAGTCCGCAGGACCCTTGTGAAAAAGACAAACCGCATCCACTTGCAGAGGGTCCGTCTTTGCCTTGTTGTTGATTACAGGCTAGCGCAATGTGCTAGCACTGAATGATAGACGTGTCAAAGTAGCCAAAGACGCTGTTAGTACTGCTGCGCATATTTTATATGCATTTACACTACTAAGAAAATAATTTTGAAAAAATGTAAAAGAAAATCACACAGATTTGTAACTTATAAGTACCAAAACTAAAAAATATGCTTTTTATGATGGTGAAATGTTAGTAAAGCAGTTTGGCACAATTTGGCACACATTTTGCCAAATTGGTTCCGAATGGCACTACTTGATAAAAAAGAGAAACTGCATAAAAACTATAAAACTTAGAAGTCTGAAACTTTACACAGTTGTTAACAACACAATGAACAAATTGGCGTTGAAAATGTTCTTCTTCCAATGAAGTAGGCTTTTTTAGGGCATTAATAAATTTAATTTTTTAGGCGAGGCTAAAAAAAAAAAAAACAGGTTTTTTTCCCAAACTTCAAAGGATGCATAGTAAAATAAGAATGACATTATTTCAGTGTATATGTACATTAACTAGAAGGGCCTAGCTTTAAAATGATGCATCACACAAGCATGTGAGATGTAAGATGTGTTTTTAAATAAGCAAAGACCTTTGGGTATGCCAAACTTTTGTGCATGAGCCAAAACAGATGTAGGAGTTTAAGACGTTAAAATAAAACTCCTGTCAGTAACCATTTGTGTCACACATCCTTTTGGGGCTTATAAATCCATGGTTTAGTGCTCTCTGTGGTCCTAGTGTTTATAATATCATCCTGACCAATCAGGAGCCTTCTGTCCCGGAATTCAGCTTTAGCAACCCAGGTACAACACACTCTGAACAACTTTTGGGTTAGCAAGGCAGAAGGCCGTATAAAATGACACAGCCGACCGCAATTGCCTTGCAGAGCTTATTCAAACAAGCCCTAAAGATGTAAGATAAAAAACCGAGGTCACATCATTGCAAAATTGTTGAGAAGTTATCATTTGAGAGTGTAATCCAATTTGCAAATATTTGTCTTATGTATACAATTTTCCAAAATCTTGCACCCACAGAGGTGAGAATCAGTAGCCTGGCTCTGCCAGAACTTGTAGTTCCGTCATGCTCCACCAGAGGCGTTTGGCGTAAGTGCAGCAAACTACATGGGTCTGGCGAGAGTCAGGCTAGAGAATCAGATCCATCAGAGCCACATCCAGAGGAGACTTATGTGGACTTTAGGGCCTCCTCATTTGGTCAGAATTTTTTTTATGTCAAAACAGAAATGGCCTGGAACACATTACCTCTGTCTGTGTGGGAGTGTAGCTCACTGGGACAGTTCAAACTCTGCTTAAAGAACTGGCTCAAAGATAATCAAGTCTGCAGTCATTAATCATGTAAATAATTGTGTGTTGTATATAGTCTCTCTTTCTGGTTAGAGGTTAGTATTTTAAATGCTAACTTGGCCATTATATTTACTAATTCTTTGCACAGTGTAAACCTGCTGTCACTTCGCCTCTGCCCAGAGACTATGGATGAAAATTAGCTTGTAGCTATATCCAGTTTGAACAATACATTTATTGTGCGATGTCAACGTCAAATAAACAAAAATAGAAAAAAATAGAAAACGGCTATGCACGACTTGTCATAGTTGGAAAACAACATTTAAACAGAGGTGGTTTGTGGCAGAAGTTTTTGATATGGGTGGATGGAGCTAAAAGTAAATCCAGGTCTGTGACTTCCTGTTACTTACACGGCCATAAAAACGATTCGGATTCTGATTCAGACTTAGCCTGGTCGTACCATAGAACCAGACCGGATTACTTTATCGCATTTTTCGCCATTGCCAAACTACAACCTGCCCGTTCGACGCAAACTCTTAATATCACTCACAACTAACTACAACACCCGCCTTCCGCGCTCTCTGAATGGTTGGTTGAAATTCAACCAATTGTATTCGCTAACATGTAAGTAAGTAAGTAAGTCACTGCAGATCTGAGTCTCAAAGCGGTTTACAATTGTTAATTTTGGGCATTTGTCTCTCACTCCACACAGAGATGGGAGCGGGGTCGCCAGTACAGGAGGCGCATGCCAGACCTATTAGACATATTTTTAGTGGTAGGGGAAACCGGAGTACCCGGAGGAAACCTACACAGACACAGGGAGAACATGCAAACTCCACTCAGAAAAGCCCTGGTCCGACCGGGATTCGAACCCAGGACCTTCTTGCTGAGAGGCGAGAGTGCTATCCACTCAGCCACCGTGCCGCCCACATGGGGACCAGACCCAGACGTTACATGCAGTGAAATGATGATTGAACGGAGTGTACGGATGGCTATGGCCAGGCTAATTCAGACTTTGAGTGGGGATCTGACCTTCACAAAAAATATAATTTGTGTTAAAGTCTGTAAAATATATGTAGATAAAATTGGAAAAACCTAGAGAATTCAAAGGGTTTGTAAGCAGAGTAAAAAACCTCAAATAATGCTCTTAAAGCTAACATTTTAAACCACAAAACAAACCACTTTAGATCAGCTTTATCAGACAGAAAATGGGAATAAATAAGACCACCCTCACTCAGCCAATTAACCCTCACCCAAAGTTTCAAATAGTGACTCACATGGCTCTTTCTTATACATAAGAAAATGTTTTCTAAGATGCAGACAGCATGTTGTGGTCTGATTTGTTCATGTTTTACTTTTTTTGTTGGGAAAAAACTAAATGTATTTATGAAAACAAAGTAAGGTTCCCCAGGTTTAAATTGACCAATAGCTTTTCCACTTCTTCACTTTTTTCCTCATCATTAAATTCATACACAACAATAAATGGATAAGTGGAAAAACAAAGGACTGTTGCTTATATTTCATAACATAATTAGAAAAGGGAGGATTTGTGATGTTTGAAGCCGGTTTAGATGTTTAAACACAATATTAATGGACATTGAACATTTGAAACAATTCAAATGAATAAGCTGCGTTCACGTTTGACCATCATCATTTATAAGAAGAAATCCAAACAGTTGTAAAGAACATAATTTGACTGGAGAAATACCCTCCAAAAATATAATTTGGAGGCAAAACTGACATTGTAAGTGAATTTTTTTTTTCATCATAGCCCGAGGATTCTTCATAATGTTTGAAAATAGTGAATTTAGACAGAAGGGGAAGGGGGACATATTTATCCCCAATATGAATAATATTCGTAATTTGCCATTTACACCTGTAGTTTGAGTTTCCTCCTGTTTTGGCAGATTTCTTGTTCATAACATATCTTTTCTTCATAAATTGTAGTTTTTTTAGCATCTCACATCAATGCAATTTTAGTCATATTAAAATGTTCCACATGTCCTGCTGCCTGTGCTTCAGTCCATTTTAAACATTTTCATATTTTTCCTCCATTTCTAACACAATCCAACTCTGCTTCCCAATATGGAAGCACCTCACGACAAAGTACAAAAAAAGACCAAATCATAAAGGTTGATCTCAATGAAACAGGCTGATCAAAATTCTGCCATTTATGCCTCAATTAAAACTTCACATTGTACTTTAATATAAAATACATAATCCATATTTTTTAGTTTACAAAGATACAAGCACCATAATCCAAGCAGATGTTGACCATAGTTTATAGTTGTGCTCCCCAGTGGTGTGAGAGTCTTTGTCCAGTGTCGAGTCCAGTGCTTTGGGGGCATTCCTATGTAACTGTGGTGGAGTTCTGTCCACGGATCGCACACCACGCCATGAACACGTCCCTGCGCAAAAGAGGGAGAACACTCAAATCAGACATACAGTATAAAGGCACGTATTGGGCTTTTTAAAGGGGGCACAACCTAAAAATGTACTTCTTTCAGCTTTAGTCCATGTTATTGTAGTTTCCAATGTAATTAACACACAGCTGCTTTAGCATGATTTTTGTCTTTCAGTTATTCATATACACGCACAGGCATTGCTCTCCTACCTAGCCTCAGGTTATACTTTACAGTCTTTGGCTATTCTGAATCTGTGAAATAAGGAGGATCCACCCGCCTCGCACAGGCAGTTTTGCTAAAAGTTTTTTTTTAAAGGAAAAAAAATCCAGAAAATTACATTGTCTGATTTTTAAAACATTTGCAAATTATGGTGGAAAATACATATTTGGTCACCTACAAACAAGCAAGATTTCTGTCTCTCACAGACCTGTAAATCTTTCTTTAAGAGGCTCCTCTGTCCTCCACTTGATACTTGTATTAATGGCACCTGTTTGAACTCATCAGTATGAAAAACCCCTGTCCACAACCTGAAACCGTCACACTCCAAACTCTACTATTGCCAAGACCAAAGCTGTCAAAGGAGACCTGAAACAAAATTGTAGACCTGCACCAGGCTGGGAAGACTGAATCTGCAATAGAAAAGCAGCTTGGTGTGAAGAACTCAACTGTGAGAGCAATTTTTAGAAAATGGAAGACTGATGCGACTTTTCCACAGTAATGGTACGGTACGGCACGGCCCAGTGCGGGTGCTTTTCCATTAAAAATAGTACCTCTTCAGTGTGGGAGGGGTTGTCAGACCACGTCATTTACGCGCGACGTGTAACCAGTAACATTGGTGTGGTGCATGGATTTATTTTAATATCGGTGATAGCTGGTTATTACCTCCTAGGGGACTCATCTTACCCCCTGCAGAACTGGCTCCTAAAACCTTTTCAGGACACCGGGCGAGTGACAGACGAACAGCAAGTATTTAATAGAAAATTCAGCACAGTGAGAGTGGTTGTTGAAAATGCTTTCGGCAGTCTTAAAGGAATGACTCGGTCAGAGGGTCTAATGCATAACTTTGCCATATGCCTAAACATTTATTTTACCCTTGTTTTGACCAAAAATAAAACATTTGTATTTAGCAAAGGTCTCCATCCTTGTTCATAAATTTTATAAAAGTATGTATTTTTATATTTCATAAAAGACAAATATAATGTATGCATTGTAATGTAAATAGAAGTAAAGGTATGTGGTAGGAAATCGTAACTTTTGCTTTTGAACCCCTTTTCTGCACATGTACAGACAAATGAATGAAAAAGTCCTGATACAATCACAGATTTATTAAAAACAAAAGTAAAGTGCAAAACCAACAATTTACAAAGTCCAAAGTTTGTATGTCTCTTGAGACCAGGTCCAGATGAGGGGAAAGTGAAGTACTCCCATCACTCATTGGTAATCTCCTCACTTGTGGGAAGGGATTCTTTAAAGCTGCACTAACTGACTTTATTTTTTATTCATTACGAAAATGCTATCCATGTCCATGTATTGCATTGGTATAGACGTCCTTTTGAAGAAAAAGTAGCGCAGATTTGTGCTGGTGTGACATTATATTTTAGATCGAGTTTTGATGAAACAAGGAAGAGATGTGTTTCGGGTCGCAGATTGTGACCAATCACAGCGGACCAATAGCCCCCACTTTCGTGAGAAATCTACAGGTCTTGTTAGCATAGACGGCTGAGTTAGCACAACAAGCGGAGGAGCTAATCTGAAGCTTCCTCGTCTTCGTCACTGCTTACTGCTTACACAGCGAAACAGCCCTCCAAAAGAAAGTCCCATTCCTCCGCGCTTCCCGGTTCTATTGTTCTATGGTCACGCCATCCACTTACAAATCCATGTCCATGTATTATCCATATTGAGAGACACTAGCTCCGTCCCAACAGTGGGTGTGTGTGGGGGGCGATAGCTTCGTGGGTGTGTGGAGGGGAGCAGAAAGAGCGAGGTCAGCGGGCTTCAAAATCCCAAAGTCAGTTAGTGCAGCTTTAACAAATAAATATACACACAACAACATAAGAACAAGCACAAAACAGAAGGGCAACACGTGAAAGAGCAAAATACAGCACAGTAGAACAGGGACGTTTTAGCTTATTAGCTTGCTATGGGTAGCACCTCTTAAGCTCGCTAGCCCCCACCGGCGGGGGCAAACGAGAAAAAAAATACATCCGCTGGCAATAGCAGATGTATTTTGAACTTCATAAGCCACAAGCTATATATCATTTTAAATCTTATTTTCTCAGCTATATTTATATGTAAGTGTAAACGATATCAGACTTTGCATTAAAAAGATATAACGCATAATATGGGCACAAAATAAATCACGTTTGTATACGTTTTACCTTTCGTCTTCTGCTGCTCCAAAAATTAGACTTTCCCCATCCTTGCTGAGTCTCTTTCTCTCCGTAAGTCTTCAGTGAAAAAGAATATCCACTTGTATTTCCCAAAGTATAATCCATTCTTCAGAAATAATCCAAAAATGTGCATTTTTCTTTTGCAAAAAAAACCGCTCATAAACATATCCACGTGTTCCTTGAGTCCTTGGCTTCAAAAAGAGAGGTTCCATGAAGAGATAGGAGCAGTCCGCAGGACCCTTGTGAAAAAGACTAACCGCATCCATTTGCACAGGGTCCGTTTTGCCTTGTTGATTACACGGCTAGCGCAATGTGCTAGCACTGAATGATTGACGTGTCTAAGTAGCCAATAAAAAGAGCTTTCTATTGATGGGTTGGACTTATAGGAACCCTTTTCATTTTCACAGTAAAAGCGTGCGTAAAGACGCTGTTACATTGCTGAGCATATTTTATATGCATTTACACTACTAGAAAATTTATTTTGAAAAAATGTAAAAGAAAATCACACAGATACCAAAACTAAAAAATAGGCTTTTTATGATGGTGAAATGTTAGTAAAGCAGTTTGGCACAATTTGGCACACATTTTGCCAAATTGGTTCCGAATGGCACTACTTGATAAAAAAGAGAAACTGCATGAAAACTATAAAACTTAGAAGTCTGAAACTTTACACAGTTTTTGTCAACAACACAATGAACATATTGGCTTAGAAAATGTTCTTCTTCCAATGAAGTAGGCTTTTTTAGGTCATTTATACATTGAATTTTTTAGGCGAGGCTAAAAAAACAGGTTTCTTTCCCAAACTTCAAAGGATGCAGAGTAAAATAAGAATGACATACATTATTTCAGTGTATATTTACATGAACTAGAAGGGCCTAGCTTTAAAATTATGCATCACACAAGCATGTGAGATGTAAGATGTGTTTTTAAATAAGCAAAGACCTTTGGGTATGCCAAACTTTTGTGCACGAGCCAAAACAGATGTAGGTGCTTAAGAGGTGAACGTAGCCAGCTCACTGTGAAAAACAGACAATCAAACTTTTACACAGTAAATACATTTCAGTGAGAGCTTTGGGCCAACGGGATACGTAGCTAACCAGTTATGTCCATTGATATTGCGCATAACATTACGTTTTCCTGCTGCGCCCATTATGACATGCATTTTCACACACGTCTCTCCCTGCAGTCTCATACTTTAATATTCTCCCTACTTGTGTTAAACCTTTCACGTAAGCCCCTGGATCGTGGTCGAGGGGCCCAGGGGAGATTTGTCGCTCCAGGGCCAAAGGAAAGTTTCGTACAGGGGAGAACTCCCTTCTGTTTTGACCCTCGCTGTAACAGTGTGGTGCTATTGCAATAACACTTCAGGCGTTCAAGAATAAGACTATTTTATTGCGAGAACACACCATCATACACTAGTATCCTGCCTGGCTCCGGTTGCTCTGCTCGTACGCCACACCTTTCATTCTTTAATTCTAATAATAATAATAAATCGGTTTTATATAGCGCTTTTCTGGACACTCAAAGACGCTTTACATGTCATTATTCTTTCACTCCAAACACGGTGGTGATAAACTACTGTAGCCACAGCTGCCCTGGGGCACACTGACAGAAGCGGCTGTCTTGGAGCGCTGTTAATAATACGGTCATGAGCAAATCTGTGTTTAAGTAGTACCCCCTTCACTGGACAAACAAGCTGGAAACAAAATAAGAGTGGGTCTGTGAACATTCAGCAGTAGCGACCTTGGACATTTCGGGAATTTGTGTCATTGACCAAAATGTAACACATTGATACAGTTTAGTGTGGAGTGAGCCATCTCACACTTGTACACATTGCTCTGATGCAAACAACGCAATCCACGCTCGAGCTGTTGGCGCACAGCAACAGAGAACACAATTTCAAGGCTGATTCATATTTAAAGGCTGCTTGGTTGAGTTGTTGTTTGGATCACAGAAATGTCATAGCTCAAACTGACCGTAAGAGCTTCACCCACCCAAACACGGCTTTTTACGCTTTCATTACACAAGAACATTTCTTGCGTGTCTTCCTATCCTGACCTGACTTGCAATGGCCTAGGGGTGGGCGATATGGCCTAAGGCCCCGTCCCAATTCTGAGGGCCCTCCAGGTGTGAGTGCCTTCACCAGAAAAGTGCCTTCCCATAGGGGAGTGCACTCACAGCATATTCTCCCTAAAAATTGGGACACCCCTGGATCTAGGGGACAATATGCAAATGACGCAGCAAACGTGTTCCACGTCACACGCATTATCAACGTGTAGGATTTCACCACAGATAAGATCTGACACAGATATGACTTTGTGAAACAAAGTATTTATTAAAATGAGACGTTTTTTATTAAACGTCAAATTTTTATTTGAAAAAAAGAACAAAACTGTGCGACGGCTGTTTTTCACTCAAACAGGAGCTAAAACTTCTTCAAGACCGAATGTTTGTGCTTGAATCAGAATTGGGGCTGAACACAACAATACCAGTGAAAGGAAATGGACCAAATGGACAGAACGTAAGTTATGATGACGCTATTTCATTTCCCAAAATCAACAGAGACAATTGTTGGAACACATATGGTGCCAAGCCCAAACAAGGCAAAGCTAA